TGGCTGTTTTCGTACACACAGAAAGACATGGGGCTCGTGAAAACCACCCGGCCCGTGCCGCTGTACTGCCTGACCATAGTCTTGCTGACAATACACTTGGCGTTGTGGTAAGTTGAAAAAGCATTCTTTTGTTCATGATTATGTTATGACAATTATGGATTTATACATGTCATTTAACAGCTAATTCTGGTGCAAAAAAATGTGCTTTGAAAGTTTAGTAAAAATCACATCTTACTCGCGTTCACAGTTCAGGTGACCAGGCTGAGTCCATATACAGAGACGCGTGTAACACTTGGCCCTGTTCAGCTGGTTATACATGCGATAAGGGGAGTGTAGTAGGGACGCCTGGGAGTGGACCGCACTGGAGGGTGTGTGTCGGTAAGATTCAAACGTCGTGGCTCTTTGCACTGACAATCCTAACCGCAACAAATGACCAGTATCTTCCCAAAACCTACCAACATACCAAGTGTCATCGCAATCCATTAATCCATATCGCCATTTTTATAGTGAGACTTTCTTGGTCGTTGTCACATACAGGGACTATGTATATAATCGGTTAGATGATTTTTCATACGTTGATTCAAGATTGACACATAACGGATCTTGTTTGAATTTTCAAGAATGTACGACTGGTTACGTAGAGGCCCAGAACGCGTGTCTGAAGTTCTCTACTGACCGCAAACCGTACCAGGACGCCAGGACAACATGCCAGGCGGAGGGGGCGCGTCTCGTTGTGGCCAAGACTGAAGAAATGAACGATTTTATCGCAGACACCATCAGAAACAGCTACCAAGACAACACATGGATCGGCCTGGACGATCTCAACGGTCCAACGGTGAGTTAACCTTAAAGCTTAAATAAGCTTAAATCCTAACTAAAAGCTTTACAGAGAGCTTGTGGAGTTATTTCGCAGGCTACGAATCCCTCCTGTGGTCCACACTGACAATGAAAAAGTTTTTTATCATTCTTGTCAATTTTGTCCTTTTACGTAAGCAAAGGCAAATCTTCCTATTTCAGGTGCCATTTCTTGTTTCATTCCTCGTAGTGTTTGTATACTAGTACTTTAAATGTCTGTACTAGGATCATGGGAAGTACAAGTCCGATACTTGCTCTTAATTCAAATCATTTTGACTAATTTTCATTTTAGCACCACTTCGTCTGGAGTGACGGCAGCATTCTGACTTACAACAACTGGTATACAAACCAACCAGACTATGCCGGCTTGGAACAATGTGTGGAGATCGGCCCAGAGTACGGCTACAACTGGAACAACCACCAGTGCCATTTTCACAAGCACTACGTCTGCGAGAAAAGTGTGTTGACCCAATCGTTTGCAAACTGCACACAATATATCATTTACCCCCATATTGAGTGAGCTTCTGAGTCGAAGCATAAGTTTGAGTTGACTTACGATTGGACTCAGGAGCTTGGACCTTTACTGACACGACGTCTCAAAAGCAAACAACATGTACAGGATGTAAAAGTTCTGATATCTGCCATATCCCAGCTGTTGTAATACTTTATGCAGATTTACAAGGGGACAAATGCTAGCAAAACGCTTGGACTTGTAATGCTAGCAAAACGAACATAAACTTTCGCCTTTGAACAGCTTTCATATCATATCCCCAGCAAACCATATCCTAGTCCCTTAGTCTCTCATTTCATGTTAAGTAAGACTAGTTAATCATACATGGGTTTAAGTGCAGGCCAGGCTTTCTTACTTGCAGCTGTTGCGCCACTGTTGCCATGGTAATACGTACACCGTATTTTCTGCCTTTTCGTCAGAAACGGTCTCCAGAGTTACCTGATCCCCGGCGCTTGTGGTTTTTGAGTAGAAGAAGAACGGGCTTCAGAATAGCTTGTTGCGTTCCTGGTGTCGGTACGGGCGGCTTTTCGGCCGTATCTTCAACTTTAATTACACTCTAGCGCCATGTCTGATGCGTATTGTCAAACAGAAAAACAGTAGTATGATAGCATGCAGCCTATATACAATTGGGAAAGATTTTCGTTGTAGTCATCTTAAACAAACTGTTGACTTTTTAAAGATATTTGCTGCTCGCGTTCTTCTCTGTCGTCATCTTAAGCAAAGTGTTGATTTTTACGACTTTTATCAACATATTTGTTGCCTCGCGTGCCCTCGCGTTCTTCTATGTGGGAGAGGTGTGCCATGGTTACTGTTTGCCTTGCACTTTTCATCTCGTTGACTCTTGGACAATCATGGAGCCTACCGAACAATATGTGGGGTAAGTCTCTTACGAAATACTTGCCATGATATTTTAGCATCAAAACTCTTTGACAATTGCAATTTTCACGCGTCTGGTACTGTATTTCTCTTGCCGTCGCCATTATCAAAAAATCATTCAATTCGAAAAAGATTTTTCTTTTCGGACTCTCTACTCCAAGCTTTCTTCAACTCTTTCTCATCTCTTTCCTGTCTTTTTTTCTTTCTCCCTTTTATGCTCCTTTTTTTCTCTCGTTTTTCTACTTTAATTCTCTGATTCTCTGACAGTTATATTTACTATTTCCTCTTTATTTCTAGGCACACCACAAAAGACACGTCCCTGTCCTGCAGATGGCCGCTGAAGATCCAGGTAAACTCCGCCCTGTACGGTCGCACCCGGCGCGGCCCCTGTAACACCAGACCTGTCTACACCTTAAACTGTAGGAGTGGTTCCAGCCTGTCTGCTGTGAGAAACCGTTGCCAGGGACGCCGCACCTGCAGTGTAGCCGCTGAAAACAGCGTGTTCGGGGATCCGTGCGTCCACACGTTCAAGTTTTTGGAAGTCGCGTATCGATGCATTGGCTGTAAGTTTGTATGTATATGTTTGTAGTGTATCATTGCATCACACCAGTCCTATATTTTGACTCTTTGGGTTTGAGCCATTATACTTTAGGTTTTATGTGCTTGATGTGATACTTCCTTGCCAAAGCTTTTTTGTCAAGCTTTGCGCTCTCACCGAAGCAGCAAAATGCAAATCGTAGCTTTTAATGATAATGGCAAGGCTGGGATTTGAACTCACGACCTTTTGGTCCAAAAGCGGGGTTGTTAGCACCTATATATCTGACCCTTTGTACGTTTATGTCCCAGAAAATGGCCAGGAGCGGAATACCTCTTAATAGCTGGCCCGGACCCACCGTCGCCATTTGTCAAGTCATGCACAGCCCGAACGACAAGTAAACAACACGTCGAACAGGGATGAACAACTTGTCTCTTGTGGCGAGGGGCGAAGCTTGTATACATTTTCTTGGCCACTTTTGCTGGCTTTTCCACTAGGTGTTCTTGCCACATCGGTAAATCTTGCTCTGGTTAGCGTATCCCCAATTCGAACCTTTCTCATTTCGTGATTAGTCGTTTCATAGGGTAAAAGTTCATCTTGACCCTCTGAATGGTGCGACCCATGTCTTTATCCAGGGTGCTTTATCGCATTTTTTATCTAGTCATGCACAGCCTAAAACTTGGAAGCACGGCGCTTAGTACCAGTATAGCTTCCTTCACAAATACCTTGTTTGGCCGTCACAGCTCCAAATGCGTCTACCGATTTTCCCTACACTTGTCATCCTGATGGCATGGGTGCAGGCACAGAGTCTACCGGATGACATGTGGGGTAAGTCTTTGTAGTCGAAGAAGGACGGAATACCTTTTGTGCAAGGATTTAAACTCTGACATATTTGTTGTACTTCCTGCCTCATTTTCCCATATCAACAGTTTCATTGAATTTTACACAGCGGCGAAAGCAGAACTATCAATTTCTTCCTGTTTTGTAGGTACATCAGAAAAAACACGGCGCGCTTGTGAAGAAGAGACGCTGTCTCTGAACTGCCAACCTGGGTTTGAGATCCAGGTAAACTCTGCGTTCTACGGCCGTACCGATCCCCATCACTGCACAGGCTGTTGTTTTAGGTTTGTCTTCACGACAAACTGTAAGAGCTCAAAGCTGTCGACTGTGAGAAATCAATGCGACAGACGGCGTAGCTGTGGCATATGGGTCTCCAACGGCGTGTTCGGGGATCCTTGCTTCGGAACGTTCAAGTATTTGGAGGCTACGTATCAATGCATTGCCCGTGAGTGTTGCTTGCATGTTTGTAATACAACGCACGTAACGCACGATGACAGCTTGCTATACTGTCAAGATAACATAATTAAGGAATTAAGGATATGACAAATGTAATGTAATGTGAAACCAATACAGAACAGGATACGAAGGATACAAAGTTTCGATATAAGTCATCTCATATATATATATATATATATATATATATATATATATATATATATATATATATATATATATATATATATATAGCTTAGTCATTGCAATACACATTGAATAATGAGAAAAATGACCAGGAACGGAAAACCCCTCATACTTTTTTACAGACAGAACTGACCGATTTTACTTCCGCCAGTATTGTTTCTGCCGTTTCCTTATGCAATTATATCCAAGCCCCTTCGTTAATGTTCATGTACTGTAAAGTAGGACGTAGGTTTGAACTATATATATATATAAACCTACATGTAGGCCGGGCTTTCTCAGTACGTAACCCTACACCAACCAGGAAGTGGCGACCGTCAAAAAACAACTATTATGTCAAACCAGGGACGTTATACAGACAAGCCGAGTAAATAGCAGGATTTGCAATAACAACAATGCATGCCAAACTGCCATTCACCAACTTATCCAGACGTAAACTTCACAATCGTAACTTATTTTGCCGGCTGTGTACGCCGGATTACTTATCCTATCACACAATGCGCTGCGCTGTGCCGCTTACTCAAGAATAAGGCAAAGGGATTCTACAAAAGAGACAATGCGGTGGTCTGCCCTTACCTGTGCCTTTGTGGCCACCTGGCTGACGTGCTGCACGACTGTTGAGGCCCTGTAGTCGTAGTCATACCGAGATCCCGGCTTGTAGTTCACCAGACTTGCAGCCGACGCGGTACAGAGGACGGTGGTGAGCAGCCACGGCCACAGCGGGCCCGGGCGTCTGCCCGACATTGTGTTTTTCTAGGTTGCGTGTACTAGTACGTGACAGGTACCCTCGCCGTGCGAAGGTGTATCCTTTTTCCACTGTGCGTCTGAGGTGTCATAGCAGGGCTAGACCACTTGCCCCACGCGGGGAGGGACGAAGCTTCTAAACATTTATGGCCACTTCTCCCTTTACTTGTCCATGCCACACAGGTATGCTTCGCCCGTATTCAGTTCGACTTAACTAAATACAATTGAGGTATTGCTCACTTTTCTGTTCTCCAATGCGTCGGTTCTTTTTTTTATAAAGCTGATGTCACTTTTTCTCTACCCATAGATTGGTACGACCCATGTCTACAAAGCACTCAGTAATCAGACAGGCTATTGTATCCTGATAGATTAATTACACACCTATACGGTCCTACTCAGCCTTTTTTTCTGACTCATGCGACTATTTCTTTCTGACTCATGCAGGGGACGCTTGACTAAGTGCTTACTAGTGACCCGTTTAATCGTTGTTTAGTACCTGAAGGTACATAGTGCGTGCATGCCAAAAATGTCCATGTCTAGAACCGTGTTGTGCTTGGGGATTCTTGTCTTGCTTTGTACTGACGTGGCGACGTGGCGACGCAGGCGACGGCGGCGGTGCAACTGGAGCTGGGGCGGCTGGAGCGGCTGTAGCGCTCCCTGTGGGTACGCGGGCACACAGACCCGCTCGGCTAGCGGCTGTGGCGCACCGGGGCCGGAGACTCGGGCCTGCAACCGGTTCTGTAATAACGGGGGAACTCCCCAGGCGACCTATTGCGACTGTCTGGACGAGTTTTGGAACAGATGCTGCGAGAGCCGTGAGTTTTAATTATGCTGAACTTGCAGTTAACGTTTGTAGTCTCCAACACACTTTAGTAAGATTTAGTCATACAGAACTTGTAGTTAAAGTTTGTAGTCTATAGCTACAAGACACAACACACTCTAGTGAGATTTAGTCATGCTGAACTTGTAGTTAAAGTTTGTAGTCTACGAGACACTACACAGTCTATTGAGTTATGCCTGAGTTGACCCTTGTAATGATGTGCTTCATTGCCATGTGTATTGTATGACATGCATACAATACACAGCCTAGTGTAATACACACCCCAGTTAGTACAAACTCCAGTCAAAGACGTTATGCTCTGTTACCAAATCTGTTGTGGTCACGGGATGATTGTGTCTTATGCCCAAGAACATGGGCCATTTTACTAACAGTACGTTAGCAACTTCAAAGTGCTGATTTTGATGTTTGCCGTGCCTTTGTTTGCACTGTGATACCAATCTTTGGGGTCAGTTATTGCTATTGCGTCATAAAACTTTTCGATGTGGCTTAAGTCCAGGGCGTTGAATGTGTAAGTATTGAACTTGAAACATTTTCTGACACAACTACTAGTAGTTAATTGGGAAACCTGTGTAGAAACATAGGATACATAGCGAATCTTACAAACCACTCCCCAACATCTGCTTGGGGGTCAAACGTTTGAATGATTTTATCTTCGATCTTGCCATAAGTGTTTACCTAAATGTCAAGTGAGTGTGTGTCTGCATACATATGACCTTACGTAACCTGAACTACCTTTACTCCGTACACAAACTCTACCTTAGCCTTAGGCAAATACAAGACTCAACTAACGCACACAGGAAGTTGGTGTACATGTTTGGGCCTGTATCTGAACATGCCGGTCAAAAACTATGACTTGCACTAATTATTTAACATTTAAGCAGGTTTGAATGTGTCTTATTTACAGCACGAAGCTTTTTAAAAACTGATTAAAGGGAAGAATCATGTAAACCTCTAGAGTCAAATGCTCCCCAGAGCAAGCGATCTTGAGTGAGTAAAGGCGCGGTCACATTTCCCAACCCGGGGCCCGGCCGGGCAGTCGTTTGGAACGAAAATTATGATATAAGACAGCATAACACAAAAAAAGTTTTAGAAAATTAACAATGAGCACTATTTGTGTATGCTCTTAATACAAGTTGTTTATTTTTCGTTCACGCAAACAACCCGGCCGGGCCCCGGCTTGGAAATGTGACCGTGCCCTAAGTGAACGCCATGTTGGAGACTGATACACATCTTTAAAATTGTTGTTTGCCTGTTTTCGGTTGTCTGAAGGGGCCGATGGCCAGGAACATGATTCTGTGTACTTTTAATTAGGCACCTGTACCACATACTAGTAAATTTAAAAGCATTTGCCGCCAAAACACGCAGCATATAGACCCATTTCGATTTCGTTTATCTAGACATAAACTTCGAAACCGTAACTTTTCGCCCGTCTGGCAACACATGCGCTGCGCCTCTTATCCAAGAGCGGCAAAGGGATCTTTCAAAAGAGATCTTTCAAGTTCTTGCCCTCACCTGTGCCTTTGTGGCCACCTGGCTGACGTGCTGCACGACTGTTGAGGCCCTGTAGTCGTAGTCATACCGAGATCCCGGCTTGTAGTTCACCAGACTTGCAGCCGACGCGGTACAGAGGACGGTGGTGAGCAGCCACGGCCACAGCGGGCCCGGGCGTACCGCCGACATTTGTGCTTTAGAAGTTGTGTGTACTAGTACGTGACAGGTACCCTTGTCGTGTAGAGGTGTTTTTCCTTTCCAGTGTCTGAGGTGTCACAGCAGAGCTAGACCACTTGCCCCTTGCGTGGAGGGACGTAGCTTTCATGGCCACTTTTCTGCTAACTTGTCCATAACACACAGGTATACCTCTTGTATTCAGTTTGACGTAACTGAATACGAATGATGTATTACTTTCTTGCGTCGGTTCTTTTTTTTACAAAGCCGATGTCATTTTTCCACCCTTGGAAAAAGGGTGCTCGTCATTTTTCCACCCTTGGAAAAAGGGTGCTCCATGTCTATATTGCATCAGGCAAACCGCTATTGTGTCATGCAGAACATACCTTTACGGTACATACTCACCCGTTCTAGGTAAGCAGGGTGCACAAAGAAGTGCTCTGTAGGCACAAAGAAGTGCTCTTTCTGCCAAAAAGTGCTCTGTAGTTACCCATTTAATCGTTGCTGACGGTGTAAGTTTATGTAGGTTGCATCAAAATGGCTGTGTTTAGAACCTTGTTGAGGTTGGGGATACTTGTCTTGCTTTGTACTGGCGTGGCATCGTGGCGACGCAGGCGTCGGCGGCGGTGCAACTGGCACTGGGCCGGCTGGGGAGCTTGTAGTGCGCCCTGTGGGAACGCGGGCACACGGACCCGCCATGCCAGCGGCTGTGGCGCTCCGGGGCCAGAGACTGTGGCCTGCAACCGGTTCTGTCATAACGGTGGGACGGCCCTGGCATATTCCTGCTCGTGTCCGGACGAGTTTTGGAACACCTGCTGTGGCAGCCGTGAGTTTTTTTTGCTGAACTTGCAGTTAAAGTTTGCAGAGTCCAGGACACTACACACTTTTTAGTCATACTGAACTTGTACTTAAAGTTTGTGGTCCATAGCTACAAGACACAAGACACTCTGGTGGGATTTAGTCATGCTGAACTTGTAGTTTAAGTTTGTAGTCTACGAGACACTACACAGTCTATTGAGTTATGCCTGAGTTGACCCTTGTAATGATGTCCTTCATTGCCATGTGTACTGTATGACATGCATACAATACACAGCCTAGTGTAATACACACCCCAGTTAGTACAAACTCCAGTCAAAGACGTTATGCTCTGTTACCAAATCTGTTGTGATCATGGGATGACTGTGTCTTATGCCCAAGAACATGGGCCATTTTACTAACAGTACGTTAGCGAGTTCAAAGTACTGATTTTGATGTTTGCTGTACCGTTGTTTGCACTATGATACCCATCTTTGACGTCACTTTATTGCGTCATAAAACTTTTCGATGTGGCTAAAATCCAGGGCGTTGAATGTTTAACTTTAAGTATTGAACTTGAAACATTTTCTGACACACAACTACTAAGAGTTAATTGGGAAACCTGTGTAAAACATAGGATACATAGAGAATGTTACAAACCACTTCCCAACATCTGCTTGGGGGTCAAACGTTTGAATGATTTTATCTTCGATCTTGCCATAAGTGTTTACCTAAATGTCAAGTGAGTGTGTGTCACTCTGCATACATATGACCTTAAGTAACCTGAACTACCTTTACTCCGTACACAAACCCTACCTTAGCCTTATAGGCAAATACAAGACTCAGCTAACACACACAGGAAGTTGGTATACATGCCGGGGCGCACGTATCTAAACATACCATGACTTGCACTAATCAAACGTCTGAAGAGGTTTGAATGTGCCTAAGTGACGGCACGAAGCGTTTAAACCTCATTAAAAGGGAATAATCATTGACAAGTGCTCGTCGGTGCAAGCGAGGATAATTATGAGTGAGTGAGTGAGTGAGTGAGTGAGTGAGTGAGTGAGTGAGTGAGTGAGTGAGTGAGTGAGTGCCAAGTGAGAGACTGATATGCATCTTTGAAAAAAAGTTGTTTGCCTGTTGTAGTTTGGCCATTGGCCAGGGACATGACTCTGTGTACTTTTAATTAGGCACCTACACCGCATTGTATGAAGTCTTTGCCACCAGAATACACAGTATGCAGACTAGAACAGACAAACAACATTTTCAAAGATGTATACCGGCCTCTCTTTTGACACTCTCACTCACTCACTAACTCACTCACTCACACACACACATACACTCTCACTCACTCACACACACTCTCACTCATTCACTCACTCACTCTCTCACTCACTCACTCACTCACTCATTCTCTCACCCACTCACTCACTCATTCACTCACTCACACTCTCACTCATTCACTCACTCACTCACTCACACACACACACTCTCACTCATTCACTCACTCACACACACTCTCACTCACTCACACTCTCACTCACTCACTCACTCACTCACTCACTCACTCACTCACTCACTCACCCACTCCTTGGTACTCCTAAGAATATTGTGCAACCATAGACAATGGACGTGATGCGTGAACCCAACAATTGGGGCTTACAGTACAATTTAACCTCTGTCAGTCTAATGTAACCTTCATGACATGAAACATGAAAGCGTACAAGATACACATTCAATTATTCATGAACTGTATGATCTATCTCTTACGGAACAAAGAAAATGAAAGTGAAACTGTCTGAACGACACACCCTTTCATTATGGGTGACGTCACTACTTGTAGGCAACTAAACTAGCTATAAAAACCACGCCCTGTTTCCGTCCTGTTTTCGAGTTAGGTCGAAACTATTATGATTCCTTTAGTCTCCACCAGACTCAATTGCAGGCTAAATGAATTGTAGAAATTGGCCTAAAGAGAATGTAGCTGACCAGGGGAGTTGGCCAGCCAGAGAGGGTCCAGTTTATTTACCTCTTTAGGCCGATTTCTACTACATGTATTTATTCAGACTGCAAACAAATCTGGTTGAGACTATAATTCCATAGAGTAGGGGAACGTTGTTAACTTAATAAAGCCACATGATGTGTCTGTTTCGCGCGAAGGACCATTTCAGTGTTAACTTTATTTGATAATTTGGTGTTTTGGCTAGTTAGTAAGTAGGTCTAGTGGTACTATATATACTAGTGTGGTGTAAGGTACAGTAAACTAACTTTAAGGACAGCCTATACTGAGCATCTTGTCCCTTGCACCAGCGCCAGTCTATAGATTTGATAAGGTACTCCTTCGTAGCAATGACGCGTAAAAGTTGTTTTTTCAGCAAGTCTTGCGCCAGTTCAAGTCAAGAACTTAGCAGAAAGGAACGCTAACCATGCCCATGGTGTTAAAGCCCTGTTTACAGTTGGTTTTACTAAAGAGATCATTCGTAGCGATGGGAAGATGACAGACTAGAGACGGTATTCTGGTTTTACTAAAGAGGTTATAACCTCTTTGGTTTTACTAAAGGTACATGTACGCAGCCTTTGGTGTTGACTTCATGCCTGACAATGTTGTCGGTAATTCTATAGGCCCGTGGATTGTGTAATCACTCGGCGCGCCTTTGTTCGGGGTTTGTAAGGTAAACATCTTTGGTTGCTCAAGCCAGTGAGCGGTGAAAGAATGGGATGAAAGAGTAGTAGTTCCTTTATTGAGTTTTTGGGGACATCAGAACGCCTTTTCCGGGTAAAGGTACTTTCCTTCTAGGAAAAGAACAACGACTTTTCTCCCTAGTCTAAGCAATGTAAGTCAAGCGAACGTCACCAATAGCAGTGCAAATTGCCACAACATAACATCGCTTCATGAAGAAAAGAAACGCACAAAATGCTCTTTGTGCTGTTATTTCAAAACAGTCGACCCATTTCCTGGTCTGATTGTAGGCCATGCCCACACTAGTTAACTCAATAGTGTCGCTATACAGGTTAGCTCCTCGGCTCCAGGGCCAAGCTGTCCCAAGGACATTTTACCATAGTATTCATTATTAGCCTGGCGTCGTGATATTCTACCTCTAATTGCTTCTCCACAGAATATATGCACACACTACGTACGTACTAGCTCCTCGGCTCCAGGGTTAGCCTGGATGCCAGACTGTTGCCAGGGCCAGTGTACAGGCTAGATCCTCGGCTCCAGGGCTAGCCTGGGTGGCAGACTGTTGCTAGGGCAAATATACAGGCTAGTTCCTCGGCTCCAGGGTTAGCCTGGATGCCAGACTGTTGTCAGGACCAGTATACAGGCTAGCTCCTTTGCTCCAGGGTTAGCCTGGATGCCAGACTGTTACCAGGACCAGTATACAGTCTAGCTCCTCGGCTCCATGGCTAGCCTGGGTGCCATACTATTGCCAGGGTCAATATACAGACTAGCTCCTCTGCTCCATGGCTAGCCTGGGTGCCAGACTGTTGCCAGGGCCAGTATACAGGCTAGCTCCTCAGCTCCATGGCTAGCCTGGGTGCCAGACTGTTGCCAGGGCCAGTATACAGGCTAGCTCCTCGACTCCATGGCTAGCCTGGGTGCCATGCTATTGCCAGGGTCAATATACGGGCTAGCTGCTTAGCTCCAGGGCTAGCCTGGGTTCAAGTGAAGACTATTGCCAGGGCCAGTATACAGACTAGCTCCTCGGCTCCATGGCTAGTCTGGGTGCCAGACTACTAGTATATTGTCAGGCAAGTATACAGACTAGTGCCTTGGCTCCAGGGCTAGCCTGGGAGCCAAACTGGTGTCAGGGCCAGTATATAGGCTAGCTCCTCGGTTCCAGGGCGAAGTTGTACCGAAGGAAATTTTACCACAGATACCTCTCAGTTAGACCCTGAGCATCTGGGGCCGGCATGTATACTGGCTCTGAGAACAGTCTGGCATCTAGGCTAAGGTCCTTGGTCATACTAGTACGGTACGGTGTTTTCCTTACCTGCGCCTTTGTGGCCACCTGGCTGACGTGCTGCACGACTGTTGAGGCCCTGTAGTCGTAGTCATACCGAGATCCCGGCTTGTAGTTCACCAGACTTGCAGCCGACGCGGTACAGAGGACAGTGGTGAGCAGCCACGGCCACAGCGGGCCCGGGCGTCTCCAGCTTGCCGCCATTTAGCATGAAAGCTCCCCTGTACTGATAAGTAGCGATGTCGCGGATTTTAAAATATACATTCTCACGCTTTAAGTCCTTGTATCCTTACGGCTGTACGGTTTCTACTTTTTGGCCCTTTTGCGAAGGGAAGAACAACTTCCTTATGCAGACTAGACCATTGCCTAGGGGTGGGGAGGTAACGTGGTTTTATAAATAAGGAGAACAGGTGTTTGTGCCTATCATTATATAATATCTGCTGAGTGCCAATGGATGTTACTTAACGATGGCGGCGGTGACTGTAAGTGTAATACAAGCATCATAATTTGTGTCAAAACGGCAAGAGAAATGGAAATGCATGACGAGATAAAGACTGTGGCTTCTACGCTTACATCACCTAGTCAACTAGTCACAAGGTGTTTTTATCATACCTGCTTCTGAACCTGCTGTTTTCATCGCTCTAGGCTGGGTCCCTTCAACAGAGATAAACAAAGGCTTCTTTGTTTAGCTGATGAGACTTGGATTTCTCCCATTCATGGAATCAATAGAAACACATAAAGGAGAGGAGATAGAATTTCTTCTTGGTAGAACCTCTTTTCTCTGAAAGCTGCTTTTTACTGTCAATAAGGAAGTAAAGACAGGGGACATTTCTAGTTTTTCTCGGCGACAATCACATAAAAAAATGGCCAGCATAAGAATCTTAGTGACCGCTGGGATAGTGTTGTTGCTCTGTGTGGACGTTACGGCGATATTCTGGAGTCGAAGGCGCCGGCGGCGGTGCAACTGGCACTGGAACAGTTGGGGACCCTGTAGCGCTCCCTGTGGGTACGCAGGCATACAGACCCGCTCGGCTAGCGGCTGTGGCGCACCGGGGCCGCAGACTCAGGCCTGTAACCGGTTCTGTCATAACGGTGGGACGGCCCTGTCGCACTCCTGCTCGTGTCCGGACGAGTTTTGGAACACCTGCTGCGGCAGTCGTGAGTTTTAATCTTGCTGAACTTGCAGAAATTCTTTATAATACACTTTACCTTACACTTATTGGGTGCCATCATCTTGCCAAGTGCTAAGTAATAGTACATGACTGGTTCGTTCTTTCTGCAAGTCCTTGGTATAAGACGTACTATGGAGTTAAATAATGTTTCTACCTCCATGGACGTACGAAGTAGTTGTATTAGTCAGGTGAAAAGCTATCTCATGACTGTCGCACTGTTTCCGCGTTTTTATGGATGAAGTGCTGTTTTCGTGCCTGCCTAGCAACCTGAACGTAGGCATGCCTGGTAACAACAAATAAGATTCTTTATTGACACAACAAAAAAGTACAGGGACTTTTGTGTGGTCTTCTACAACTTAACTAAAGATCTAACAAAGCTAACTACATGTGAGGATAACGTCATCTTACGTACAGTGTAAAAATATATGTAGTATATAGACGCAAAAGACGTCAAGATCTGCTTTGCCTAACTTGTTCCACCTGCCTACCTGGCCCATGGTCCGGGCATTGGGGACACAAGGTAGACGTAAAGATGAAAATTTGCCTCTACAAGTACCCTAATATTGTGAGCAAAACGTGTTTTGTCATGGTTGGCGCACAAATATTTCGGTTTTCACGGATGAAGTTGGGGTAAACAACAGGAGTGACAAACTGGTTCAAAAAGATTCACTGAGATGGTGAAATTAATAGGAACGGAAAACCACTCATACTTCTTTACGAACAGGACTATTGAATACTTTTACTTCCGTCAGTATTTTTTTCTACCGTTTCCTTACAGAATTATATCCAAGCCCCTTTATTAGTGTTCATGTACTGTAAAGTGGGACGTACGTTTGAACTATTAACCTACATGTAGGCCGGGCTTTGTAAGTAACCCAACCCTAACCAGGAAGGGGCGCCTGTGTTGTGTCGACACAAAAGACAAGGCCTGTGCTGTCTAAGGGCTGAACTTGTTCTAACCGCCTAGTACCTGGTCCCTCGCCATGACCTGGTCGCTGGGGGTACAAGTTAGGCATAAAGAAGTAGACTTGAAGAACCTACCCTTATTGTGAACAGAACTTGTTTTGTCATGGTTGACGCACAAGTATTTCGGTTTTCATGGATGAAGTTGAGGGCTAAACAACGAGTTTGTGTCAATGTTATTCCATGACCGGACTTGTATTGTAGACACAAAAGAGGAATGTCTTGCTCCAGGGTTTACTCTTGTTTGTCTTTTGTGAGCCTGGTAGCACTGAAGCGTGTGATTGCTTTGGAACAGAACTGCCCTGGTAGCGAAAACGTCACCAACTTTTACGTGACACACATACCTTACCTAGCTTTAGAAGAAAACCATGGTTTCTACCATTTGTACCCCTAGACTAGAATATAGATATCTGATCATCCCCGCTTATTTTATCACACCTGCTTTTGAACGTCTTCGCTCATGGGTCTCGCCAGCTTAACAAATGCTTCTTTTGAGACGTTGGATTTTCTTGTATTCATGTGGCAAACATTTATAGCCAAGAGAAGAGAGATAGGAGATGTCTTCTCAATAGAATACAAACGGCGTAGAGCTTATTAGATTAGTGCCTCTTTGTTGAAAATCCGCCTTGGGCGAAGAAGACCAAAAAGTCGTCAGCTAGAGCTAGGGGAAGTTATCTGTGTTTTACACATCAAAGTGGGTTGGACTCATGTAGTTTTATAGACGTATACGTTAGTCTCAACTTTAAGAGTGACGTACACTTTGGATATCCTGCTTGTGTGCACAAGAAAAGATAAAGCCGTCAGAACTAGAGGAAACAATTTGTCTTTTACACATCAAAGTTGACGGATTCGCGTAGTTTTATTGCTCCATACGTGAGTCTCAGCTAAGGACTGTGTACACTTTAGATGAGTTTAAAATATATCCCACTCGTGAGGACAAGGTTGAAAAAGCTGTCAAAGTGGGCATCATATGTGCTTTACACATCAAAGGCGAAGGATACAGGTAGTTTTAATGGTGCTTGTGTGACATTTAACCACACAATCCTGCCATATACTCGCCGCATAAGGGCCACCTGCATCAACTACTTATAGCGACGAAAGATCATCAAGATCTTAAGAGTATCTATATTACAGTTTAAACATCTCAGAACCACCACTGACTTACTGTCAGTGTAGAAGTAAAGACAGGTGACAGGTCTGGTGGCACTATTTTCGCTAGGCGACAACCACATACAGAATGGCCAGCTTAAGAATTTTACTGGCCGCGGGGATAGTGTTGCTGCTTTGCGTGGACGTTACGGCGATATTCTGGAGTCGGAGACGCCGGCGGCGGTGCAAGCACAAATGGAACGCCTGGGGAGCGTGCAGCAAGTTTACCTGCACACAGACCCGCACGGCGAAGGGGTGCGGGGCGCCCGGGCCGCAAACTCGTGCCTGCGTCCGGGTCTGTCACCACGGTGGGACTCCGCGTTCCTCCACTACATGCTCTTGTCCCAACGGGTTCTGGAACCGCTGCTGTGGCAAATGTGAGTTTTGCTGTACCTGTATCTCTTTTTGTATATCCGGTATAACCGCCCTTCGGCGCAATACACCCAATCTTTGCAGACCTAACTACAGAAGTTGTTAAGAAAATAAAGCTTTCTAGTGATGATGCCCGACCCAACGAATGGTCAGCTTTAGGGTGTTAGTGTCCACGTGGATACTAGTACACAAAATGTACATGTAGTTCTGTTTTCATGTTGCTCTGCGCGGACGGTGCTTCGGGATTGTACCCTCTTTGGACTTGGCTGGCATTGATGCTGGCCAAGTACATTTCGTCCTTGAACTTCTTCCACGTGCTATGTATCTCAATCAGGAAAACAATGCTTTAGTCTGCTGCCGATCTTGTTACTATAGCACAAAAAGGTGTACACAGACATGCAGGAAGAAGGTGAGTTGATACATAATCTATCTCGAGGTATTTTTAATCGCAAATGTAATAAGACATAGACTTTGATCGACCCCGAGGTCCTGAAAAGCATACTTTGTTCCTGTTCGATTGCGCACGAAAATTAGTCGAATGGTCAGCGCTTGGACCAGGCGGACGTCGTATGAAGGATGGTCAGCGTTAAGGTCTTAGTGTCCACGTGGATACTAGTACATGTAGTTCTGTTTGCATGTTGCTCTGCGCGGACGGTAGTTCGGGATTGTCTCTTCTTTGGACTCTTTGGCTGTTGCTGGCATTGGAAGGACTGGAGCGGCTGTAGCGCTCCCTGTGGGTACGCAGGCATCCAGACCCGCACGGCCATCGGCTGCGATGCGCCGACAGAGACGCAGAGTCGGCCGTGTAACCGGTTCTGTCACAACGGCGCGACGCCCCTGCCTTACTCCTGTTCCTGTCCGGAAGTGTTCTGGGATACCTGTTGTGATAAACGCGAGTCTTCGCGCTGATAATTACTGCTGGTGGACACCGATTGAACGTCCTGAAGTATTAGGCCTTTTCCCAGATGCATTTCTCGATTAAATGAAAGTTTATTGCAAAAACATACCCGAGGGCTAATTGCAAATACAAACAACATGTATGAAAAGGAAGGTGTGATACTACGTTCTCCAACATACGTGGTACTAATGCACACAAAGCTAGGTTTATTTGCTCTATTAAGTATAGAGTATATTTCGTCCTTGAACTTCTTCCACGCTATATATCTCAATCAGGGAAACAATGCTTTCGTAAGATGCCGATCCTGTTACTATAGCGCAGAAAAGTGTACACAGATATTGCTTTCATGCGGAAAAATAGGTGAGTTAATACATAATCTATCTCGAGGTGTTTTGGTGTTTTTAATCGCAAATGTAATAAGACATAGACTTTGATCGACCCCGGGGAACTGAAAAGTATACTTTGCTCTAGTTCGTGCGCGGAAGAAATTTAGTTGAAAGTTTAGCCCCTGTACCAAACGGACGTCGTGTGAAGGGTGGTCAGCGTTAGGGTCTTAGTCTCCACGGGAATAGTTCTCTTGCTCTGCGCGGACCTCAGGAGTTCTGCTTTGTTTTCTCGCCGCCGACGTCGACGCCGTTGTACTAGTAGCTTGTATCACTGGAACGCATGGGGACCCTGTAGCGCGCCATGCGGAAACGCGGGCACCCAGACCCACACGGCTAGCCACAGCTACGGCTGGACCTTTCTCCAGTCGTGCACGCTGCCCGGGCCAGAGAGTCAGCCGTGTAACCGGTTCTGTCACAACGGCGCGACCCCCCTACCTTACTCCTGCTCCTGTCCGGACGTGTTCTGGGATACCTGCTGTGATAAACGTGAGTCTTCGTGCTGGCAATGTCGCCGGTGCAGATTGAGCGAAAGACGTAAAGATTTTTGTTGTCCAAGGGTTGAAATTGACAATGTCTTAAAAATGCCTAGTACGTACCTAGTAACTGTTCCGGGCGTTTGGGGTAAAAGATAGGCATAAAAATTAACATTTGCTTTTGAAATGGGTACGACATTTTGAAATAACCGCGTGTATGTTGTAAGAATGTGAAGTCATGAATAGAAATATTAATGTGTTGTATTGTGCAGGAAGCAACATTTCATTAAGTAGCGGTTTTTGAATAACCAAGAAGGTTCACAGGTCAGACGAACTCTACCGACGAGTATATAAAAGGCGGCTATGCTACACAATACTATCAAATAAGAGGGTAGATTTATTACTGTTTAAACACCTTTGCTCTATCATACATTGATTATGCACCCGTTGGCAAAGTAACTGGTAAAAGCCAGTGGCAGTTCTGACAGCGCTTTGTACTTTTGTTCTTGTTCGTGTGTGGATGAAGTAGTCGAATGTTTAGCAGTTGTACCAAGCGGGCGCTGTGTGAAGGATGGTTAGCGTTAGGGTCTTAGTGTCCACGGGGATACTAGTAGTTCTGTTTTCATGTTGCTCTGCGCGGCGGGTGCTTCGGGATTGTATTCACGGTGATTGCCATTGGCACCCCTGGAGCGCCTGGGGACAGTGTAGCGCACCCTGTGGGTTCGCAGGCATAGAGACTCGCACGCTTACCGCTGGATGTAGTAATTATTATAGCTGGTGCTTGCCGCAAGAGGAGACACGGCCCTGCAACCGGTTCTGTAATAACAGCGCGAGGCCGCTGCCATACTCCTGCTCCTGTCCGGATGTGTTTTGGGATACCTGCTGCGATAAATGTGAGTCTTTAAAAATGCGTTTGTATCTATACAGAATGAGCCCAAAATGCTCACCTTTTCGAGCTGCGAGCGCCTACGCAATCTTGACGCTGGATTCTGTGTTCTGTGTCAATGCAGGAAGATATATCCTTGGCCAATCTGCTTGGCCAATTATATTTTGTGTATCCCAGTGAGAGCTTTGATTACTAATCGGCAACAGAGTTGTTAAGAGCCATTGACATGGCTGTATAACATCCACGATATAAGTATTTTGTTGTGATACTCGTACAGTGTTATGATACTTACACGTGCACCTACAGTCACAAAAATGCATAGTTAACGTCTTTGACCTCAATAGAGGTACGAAAAGCTACAGTTTGTAACACTTAAGATGTTCAGAAAACTGTCCCAAAAGACGTGCGCAAACAAGCCAACTCTTGTCTTTGCCACGCTACGTCCCGTAAGCGGTTGGCAGACTCGAAATACGGTACCTATTGTCTGTTGTGCGAAGCAATGTAAGAGACGCATTGAAATGCGTGATTAAAGACCTTTTCATAATAGGTCTGTGTGATAAAAGACCTGGTTACTAGGAGCAAAAGTGGCAACCGTCTTGGTGGTATTCATCATGAAGTCGGCGATCTTTTGCTCGGAAAAGTTACAATCATCATGTAACTTTTTAGGAAATCAAAGGATAAAGATGGCAATCAAAGACCCCTCCATAAAACTTCCTATTAAGGTGTTTTGATTTGCTATTTACCCTTCTATCTGGGGGAGAGTTTGTGCTTTTTTATGACTGACGTGAGTTTTTAATAGTTAGCTAGTACATAGATATGTCTGGTAATTTAAAAGTTCACCTAAACAATAAAAGTGTGCTGGCCCGGTGTCTAGATCTGTTGTACCAAAGAGTTTAATTTGTCTATGGCTTTAATATGCCAGCTAAGACGCGATTTTATCGGATAACGAAAAGATATTGTTACTTTGCGCTGAAGAGGAAACACAGCCTTGATGTACTGCCCTGAAAGACGCGCGGAAACAGGCCGGCGCTATTTCCTACGCTACGTACCGCGAGCCGTTGGTAGCCTCGACTTTAATAACCTTATCGCTCAGGACATTGTAAGGCCAACTTGTTTTTGTCGGATGAGTGTGTGTAGTGTAAACAGTGTTTGCGTCAACCCTTTATTCCCAACAACACAGGCAAGCACACAGTTACGTGCATCGCAGTTTTGTACATAGAGAGCGAGTGAATGACAGCATGAAAGGTACCATTGTGGTGCTTTTGGGGAACAGGAAGTGTTTTTGGACGAAAATATAACGGCCTTGCCCTTTTAGTGTGCCACTGACAAATACTACAGTATCATAGAGCAATTAAGAACCTCTGCACACATTAAGTTGTGCACAGCTGGCGTTGCTATGTATATATGAATATATATAAATATATAGATACTCAACCTCTTCATGTCTATATCTATGTATGTATGTGTGTGTGTGTGTGTGTGTGTGTGTGTGTGTGTGTGTGTGTGTCTATACATGTACTTCAAACAAAGTTTTCTTTTACTTTGGATGTCTCATGTGCCATTTTTGTTTCCATACAGCGTGCACGCCCATTGCCAACTGTGAGCAACTGATTTGCAACTCAGCGACCGACCATGCCTGTAACCGCTGTAACTACGACCGGGGCGGACAGATCAAGGCCTACCAGCAAGTGGCTTCAGGAATCTACCCCAATCGAGTCTGTGAACGTGAGTATTGCCTCACAGTGTGTGTGTGTGTGTGTGTGTGTGTGTGTGTGTGAGAGAGAGAGAGAGAGAGTGTGTGTGTGTTTGTGTGCACATGTTTGTATGTGTGTTGTGTGCAACTTAATTAGTGAAGTCAAAGCTGACCATTTCTAACATGTGACTTCTTCAATTTTAAGCTTAATTATTTAACCCACCAAGATGACACTTAGTTACGTGACTGTTTTTTTTTTTAGAACGATGTTCCTGGAGACCGGACAGCAAGTTCTGCTACCCCGGCCGCTGCCCGGGAACACCCAACACCTGTACATGCGCTCCTGGGTTTGGCGGGAACAACTGTCTCAGGAGTAAGTATACAACACTTTTCTTGTACTCTTCTGTGATCCTCGCCTAAACAGGTCTAATCTATAATCTAGTCTACTACCAGGCTATATTCTAGTCTTCTAAGTGTGTGTATGATTTATATTTTACTTGATTCACACTATCTCAGACATTGCCATCAACGTAATGATAAAGAAATCACAATACTTACCTCACATCAACTATGAGATTGACTAACATCATGTCTTTTAGTGACTTTTAAACATTGCCACCGTCGTAATGATCAAGATACATGTGTCTTGTACATTTATAAACTTAAATCAACTATAAAATTGACTAGAATTATGTCTTTTATCAAATTTAAAGAGGAAATTTATTCGCTTTTTAGCAAAATTTATTCTCTTGGTGTCATCAAACTTTGAAAATGATTACCACAGAAAGCAATCCATGAAGTTGATTTTGTGTGGCCATACTGTCAGGAATAGCAGTTTTACAGTCTGACTGCATCAAACTTTCCATTGAACTCAATCACAACCAAACTCACTTTTCAGCACCAAGGACAGGGACAGGAAAACTCTCAGAATTGCCTGTTAAAAAGGCTTAATAGCTTTGTTTCTTTGTTTTTTGTTCCAGTTTCTACTCAGCCGACTATCATGCACTGCCTGGCGAAGCTGCAGCGGGTGGTAGGTGGGGCCGAGAGGGACACACTGGAGGCAGACTGTGGTGCCGTCACAGCCTCCTCTACCGTCTATGTCGGGAGGCACATTGCCTTCAACAGACTCCAGGTGCAGAAATTTGTATTTTAGCATTTCAGTAAAGCGGAATTTACCACTCAATGCTTAATTTTCCCTCCAGTCTTCTTCAGAATTTGACTTGTACTAAGTTGTAGGGGAGATGCCACAGTTGGCCCTCTTTATTGTAACCTACGCAAAAACAAGGAAGCCTACACTGTCAACCATCAAAATACCAAAATGCTGCCCCAAAGCCTAAAGAAGGGTTTTCAAAGTTCTTTTTAGCAAATTATGATTTTGAGCTCACTCACCACTCCCTCTATGCGCAATTGGTGTCACCCCAACATGTAGACATGACCAAAGTTAGTGTAGTGTGTGTTGGGTGTAGAAGAATTTTATTTAGTAGTAGTCGTAACCTAACCTTTGTTTGTGTAGATGACCTGGGACAGCAGTTGGATCGGACCGACTGCCAGCGATTGGCCGAGGCCATATTACATCAACGACTTCAGGGTGGGCATCGTTACAGCCTCTTCAACATGGAGGCTGCTCAGAGGTACGGTTTATTTGTTACAATTTGTACATCCCTAGTTAAAATGACACTGTCCTCCTTTTTCAAAAATCAATCTATTTGGGAATATTTGTTTGCATTATGTCGCAAGTGGCAGGACAGTGTTAGAGGGACTGGTCAACGTAATTATATACATATTAGATAGATAGAAAGCTGCTAGAGCTGCAGTAGTTTGTTGTCCAAGCATCTCTGGCACCAGACCACGGTTCTCCCCGATATGACGTGATATCTGGAATTAAATTCAAGGTTTGAGGTGTTTCTCTGAGCTAATACTAAGACAATGGGAGACTGAAGACGATGCCTTGTGGAGGCCTTGCTTGTTTCTGGTAGCTTATCACAATGATCACATTGTCCACCACTTTACTTTGTTTGAAGGTGGATCAGCACTAAGATCAGAAACAATTGGATGCAGCATTGGGCATAGTCAGGACAACCCAGACACAAACCTGCATGACTGTGTGAACCATGGAGACTTGAGCCTACCTGCTCTCCAGCATAATGACAGGTGTGTTAATGACATGTTTGTAGTCATGCATATGTGACTGATATAATCTATGTTCAGCAATGTTGGTGGGTTAAAGTCTCATGCATAGTTGCATAGCATAAATATGTTGGCAGTTGATTTCTACTGGTACCTTCTCCCACCCTTTGTATCTAGAGAATGCCTTACTTACAATAATTATGTTACATTCCCAGAAAGAAAACATAATGGTTTTTGTTCTGTTTCTTCTTCTTGTTCTTCAAACACATAAGGACAATGACCTTTACCAGACGTCTGTCACCTTGTGGTGCTTGTTGCAAGTTGAAGGATAGAGTTGGAGGGGCTGGTCATTATTGATCATATTGATAAATTTAACAGCCTATGCTGATAACTAATGTTTACATGAAACCAACTTAAAAGCAGTTTATTTCATCTTCTTACATTCAACAGGTTGGAGTTCAAAGCCAAAGCGACCAACGGCGGTTATGTTCGCATCAACAACTACGACAGTTCCAGTGGGACTCCGACCCTTAACCCCCGTCAGTACTACCAAGGGTCAGAGGTCATCCACACTGCCCACTTCACCTATGACCTCCGTGACCCCGTGCACTGCTCGGTGGCCAGTAGCTGCTCCTCCAAGCTTGTCGAGATCGGTCCTTCCTTCACCAAAAATGTGAGTTTAGTAATGTCATACTTTTCCCATTTCATGGTCAAGTAATGCCCACAATATACATCGTAACTCGATGTACACCATGTTGCAATGCAGGGGCATTGTTTATGTCTCAAAAGAAATTTCAAAAACATTTTAATGGCCAAACTTTGTGATATTCTTCCTCAAGCCAAAGCAAGCTCACCAAAATCCCTTCAAAACTTTTCTTTTTGTTTACAAACAAAACAAACTATTGGAACAACTAACAAAGGGCTGTATTAGTGTTATAATAAGTTGTTGTTCAGCACAGTCAAACATATCCCTTGGCCACCCTTACAGGGACATATCCAGATCCGGTGGCCAGGCTGGAGTGACGAAGGTTCAGGGCTGGGGAAGTACGAGTATGTTGTTTACAAACTGCAGCCGTACGGGGACCAGCTGGGTATGAGGTCAGTGACCCCCATCCTGTCAGGGTCACAGAACGTGTCAGGAGGAGCAAGCATGGCGCAGGTCACACTTACTGAACCTGGTACGTAAACTGTATGTTTTCATATTGGAATATCAGCTGCAGTAAAGCTTGCAGTTAGATGTGCAAAGGTTAGGTGTCCCAGTGATGGGTAATACCCAGCTGCTGTGGTGCCACATGTCTGCAAACTCAAGCTAACTAGTGTGTTTCAACAAAGGGCAGTTATACCAGCCATAACACATTACAGATACTGAGTAGACGAATGTTTGCCAATGACACTGTTCATCTCTTGTTTAGAAAGTCCTGCAGTGATTTTGCAAGTCAGTAGATTTTTAGATACCAACTGCAGTATCTACAACATCAACAGTTTACTCATTTGTATATATATAGCAGGGCTTGTTTATGATTTTTATCAAGGTATGTTATGCACCATTTATGTTTCTACACTTTTTAAAGTTACGCTGTCTTCTCTTTAACTCCAGGTACCTACTGCTTTCTCCTGACTGTTGACGACGTTGCCACAAACTACCAGCGTGCTAGGAGGTTCTTAATCTATGACGATGTGAACAACGTGACAGTGGACACACACCAGCCTCTGTGGGCAGACAGTGCTGCGGTTAACACCAGTCGTCTCTGGCAGACAAACTTACAGGACTCTAGAGGGATAGGGACAAAGGTTGGTAAAGTTCTTGGTAAATGATGAATGAATGAATGAATAAATGAATAAACAAATGAGTGAGTGAGTGAGTGAACAGTGGACACACACCAGCCACTGTGGGAAGACAGTGCAGCCGTGAACACAAGTCATCTCTGGCAGACAAACTTACAGGACTCACGGGGACAAGAACAAAGGTAGGTGAAGAAATAGATAAATAAAGGAATGAATGAACAGATGATGGACGCAGAGACCTACAGACAGACACTGCAGTTGCAATCGCACAGGCCCAAGTCATCTGGCAAAATGACACACTGGGGAGAAGGATGAAAGTCTGTGAAGAAATGAATAGATGAGTGAATAAATAAATAAATGAATAAAATGATTGGATAGAAGAATGAATGAATGATGGACACATGCCATCCTCTGTACATTTCAAGTTTGACATGCATATTGATAGCTACTTGTAACTCTCTCTTTTTCCAATCATAGGTTTCCCTGAAGTGGCCAGGACGCTATCGTAACCTGTTCCACCATCAACACAAACTCCTGGCTGCCATTGAGCCGTACGATCCTCCCATTGCAGCAGGGTACGAGATCATCACTGGGCAACCCCCACAAGAAAGGTAGGGTGACCATCTCACAATATGATAGTTACTGCTACACAATGTATTATGTGATACAATTATACATTACAGTTACAAAATTGTAGCACAAAGCCATTGAAGGCACTTTAACTGTAACAGTGTCTTTGATGGCTTTATGCTACATTTTGTTAGTAGTAAAAAACAGATAAAACTTTTGTAGAGAATAACATAATTAAATTACACAATATTGAAGCCCAGGGATTCTTTCATTGAGTTTTCTCCACATGTTCTCTTGAAATTGTTAAAACAGCATACATTAAATATGCTATACTTGCATTGTCATAATGCATTTGCATGACTGTTTAGATCGATAAATTACAGCTTAAATCAAGTCTTCTCTGTATTCCCTTTTTTCTCTTAGGTCACGCCAGGCTATTCCCAATGCTTATGGAGTCACCAAAGTGGAGACTGCGTTTGCTGTGGACCACAACGGCGGGCGTAGCATCACCACTCCACCTAACACCTGGACAACTGTGCCTGATGTCACGGTGGGTTGACAATAGTGACAATGCCAACAAGCATTATAAGTATTACATTGTTTAAACATTTCTAGTGCCTTGTACATACATGTAGGCCACCAAATTTTCTTGCTGTTTCTGTAGAAAGGTTTTAGAGATAATGTACATTCCTAGCCAGTTGCCCAATCAGTATTGTCCCAAAATGTTTTTTTTGCGTTAATTTGGCTTAGGTTGAAGAAAACTGGCTTAGGTTGAAGAAAACAGAAAACTGGCGAAAGTCACCCTGGAAGTCAGTATCTGTGAAGATGTTTCTTAAATCATTCATAAATGAAAGTTCTAATGTAAAGTTTACTTTCTTCTTCAGGCAGAGGGAGTAGACCTGGACATCCCCAGAGTAGACGGTGACTCAGTGCGACTGTGGGTAAAAGCCTACGATGTTGTGGGTAACTCTGTACAGGAAGAGGTGCTCCTCCATGTGGACTCCTCCCCACCTGTAGTGCAGAACTTTTGGCTCAACAGACACGGGGTAACTGCACTGGCCGTGCACCACTCATCTGACCTGTTTACTATGAGGTGGGTTAACTTTACACCGGTAGTTAACTTTCCTATCATACAATCAAATCATGTACTAAGTGGAACTTGTTACCAACAAGTACAGGAGGGGCATCCTCACTAGATAGCTTTAAACCATGCTAGCATCTAGTAAGTCATTTGACTGTGTAAAGGTTTGGTGTGACAGGAGATTCAGTTCAAAGCTGGTGTCTTACCATCAGTTATACTGGCTACACAGATACCTCTGATGGGGTTCACCACATCAGGGGTATCATACTACATTGTTACAGTAATAAATTATTATACATTGGCACTGAAAGACTCTTAGTGACTGTCATAAAGGGGAAACACCACACACATTTAACTTATTGCATCATCATTATGATGATCAATATCAAATGTTTTGCACCACACCATGACAGTATATATTACAGCTGACTATATCGTATCATATTCTACTTCTAAACAGGTTTGAGTTTGAGGCGTTTGATGACCACAGCGGTCTGCACAACATCCACTGGAGTCTGCAGGACTTCCTGGACAGCTCCACTGTTCATGGGGAGGGGCAGGTCGCTGTCAGGAGGCCTTCTGTGAGTTCGCTGTTTGTTTGTTTTTACCACATGAGCTGGTAAACTGCCTGATGGTATAAACTGGGGCTCTGAGAGTTGCTGAGTGCAAGCTGTGTAAAGGACTTGAGCATCTTTACAACTTTTTCATTCACCTCCTCTCTCTATCTTTCTACCTCTCTGCCTGAGACTCTCTCTTTCTCTCAGGCCCACAGTTAATCAGTATATCCAGTTTCAATATCCTACTAGTAGCAAATGGGCTTTTGATATAGAGTTCAATATTCACACTAGAATGTTTGACTTGCTTTAAATAGCAAAACAAACACTCCTAAAAAATAAAAATAAAAATAACAATCTGCTCATAATCCCAGTAATACTGGGCTAAGCATATTATTGCTATCTTACCGTGTGTCTTGAATGTTAGTTTGTATTGTATGAATAATATACAAATTATGTTGTATGTAACAATGGTAGCTGCTACCTGCCTTGTTGCTGCCTGGCTACCACATGTCATGCCTTGTTTGTTATATTTTCAATATACAAAGAACAATATTACAATAACCACTTGCACCCTGCGCTGACATCCAGCTCCTCCACCCTGAGTGCCCCCTGCCTGACTGTGCCTGTATCCCCAAGGACAGCGAGTGTTACTTCAGGAACTACGAGATCGCCCCCGACCTCAGCAAGATGGACATCCCCATCGGGTCACATGACCATGATTACGTCTTTGTTGTCACGGTTACCAACAATGCCATGCTGGTGACGACAGTGACATTCCAAGTAAGAACTTTTTGGACATTTGCTAATATTGCCAAGACCATACAGCTACATCAAAATGATTACCAAACCACTATCACTATACATGATAGTTGGCAGGTAGTAACTTCTTTTAAGCTGTTGAGTACACTTGTTTTTGCCTCTGCATGTTGAGCATTCAAGAAACAAGTCAGAGTTAGTCCTTCCTTTGCATCAGTTTCTGTGCGTTTGAAATCTTAGATCGGAATTCCCCACTGACATGGTGGCAGAATTAATCAGATCATTGTATTTATGAGTTGTGACGTTATCCCCCATACCTGTCTGCTACCACAGGTGACAGTAGATGAGAGCCCTCCCACCTCAGGACAGGTGCAGGATGCATTGCCTGGACAGAGGGACCTCGACTTCCAACAGGTACATTAAATAGTCTAGTACATATCTGCTCCTACAACCAACAGGACAAACCCCTCATAGGGCATAGTACCCAGGGCAAACAGTCTGAACTTCTGTATTCTATAATCATCAAAAATTTACCTTTCAGTGTTGTTTATTGTCATGCCTAAGTGTGCATTTTATAGTAAGTACACCTTGTCTCCCTAACATACAACCATGTCTACCTTCTTTTATGATAACTTGCAATATTTGTACTTTGATGAATTGCTTGTACATGTACATGTATGTGTGAACTTCAGCTAATGCTTAGAGCTGTGAGCACATAAAATTAACAAAGTACACCAGTCAGACAGTTGACAATAAGTAACTAAACTTGTCATCAAACTTGATTGCCAGGACCTGCAACTCCATGCATGGTGGGACGGGTTTTTTGACCGTGAGAGCGGTGTGCAGTTTTACCAGTATGGCTTCGCTAACAGGTGTCTGGGGGAGGACGAGTTCAGCATACCACAGTCAGAACATGTAAGACATTTGTTACTGTTTGTTAAATGTTTAACTAAGTTTAGGTCTCATCATTATGATATTGAACATGTCTTCCTCAACAGTTCAGCATCCCACAACCACAACAGGTATATAGGACCCATAGACTGTAGTCAGTTAGGGGTTTCCCTCCAATTTACTCACTATTATCATATAGCCAGGTGACGTTGACCAATCAGAAGGCTCCATTCCACATTCCTTATGACGCCGTAATGTCACAAATAGAGTCAAAATCGGGTATTTATTCATCCAAATCCATACATTAAACAAACCCAATAATCACCTGCATATGACCTCAGGTGACCCAATAGAACACGACTCTAGTTCTAAAAAATCCAAAAATAACTTGATTTGTGTTCCAATGACTTCCATAAGAACACCTGTTCCCTGCCTGTGACCCAGTTAACGTGAACTCTACCCAGTGACCTCAGGTGACTCCAGATGGAACACTATGTTCTATGTTCTATTCAGCACGTGCAACGGGTAAATTGTACATTGTGCGCATCAGTTTGGATAGGCTATCGTGTAAGCTATATGATGATAGCGTTAATGTCCCGCCCTTTCTTGGTGAATATGGTGTGATTAAGCCTTGTCAGTTGCTATAACCACCTCATAAAGCCACCTCGTTCGCTGTCGCTCACTTGGTGGCTTTATTCGGTGGTTATAGCAACTGACAAGGCTTTATCACACCATATTCACCTCGGGGTGGGACATTAACGCTTAATTATATACCCAAAGGCTTTGATTCTAAAACGCTATCCTGTCTTATAACTGCCAAGGAGGTTATAACAGCCTTGATTTTCATGCCCCATGTTTTTGTTTGCTTACTGCACATGTATTCAAGATGCTATGAGTGTTTCAACATGATTTTTAGTCTTCACCAGATATGTCTAAATTTTGTATCCCCACTTACTTGTGTGGTTTGTATCTTTTTGTTCTGAACACTGATCTGTAAAATCTTTGCATTCAGATCCACAACACGACAGGAAAGTTTGGTTCCTGGATGGCGCCTGCAGCCGGTACCTACTTCTGCACCGTCGTGGCGTACAACCCCGCCCTGACACCCTCCCAGCCGGCCTGCTCAGACGGCATCACCGTGGACGCTTCACCGCCTTCTGTTCAGCATGTCAAACTCACGGGATTCCACGCAAGACCAGGGCTGGTGAGCGATGACGGAGGGAACGTGTGGATCGTGAACAGGAACGGGGAACGGGAGGTGGTGACTGAACCTCCGGAGAGTTGTAGGTATGTACAGCAAATAAGGTAGTTTACAGGTCTAAGTGTGCATTTGCAATGTGATGCATTAAAGTCTACAGTCAAATTTTAATGCCCCTGGGTAGGCATATATTATGTATGTATGAGCAGTTTTCATATTGTTCAGCTTCTTACATATAATGTATTAACAACACTGTCCAAGCAGAGTGATTTCCTACATGTAACTGTCTAGAATGGGTGCAACTTATAATTTTTCTACTGTACAACATCTTGAGGATTTGTATTTATTGAGAGTATTACGAAGATTAAGCAAACATTCATGTCATAAAACAGTCTATGAAAAGTAAAGCATTGTCATGTCTCTGGTAAAGTTGGATGTTCATTTTAGTCATATGCAGTATCACATTTTCATTTCCTTTTCAGGAATGCCAGCAGACATGTTGAAGACATAGAGCTGTGGCCAGTTGCTGAAACTCCCTACAAACGTAACACCACATCACAGAACTGTACAGAGCTTGGTCCTCTTCCTGACATGGGCTACTTACCTATGGAGAACCATGTGAGTCTTTTGGGTATTCTCTTTGTTACTGGTCCAAAATAAGGCAATATTACTTCTGGAAATTTTGAGTGATATCCATCACTCTTTTTATCACCTTCTAATGACACTGAAGAAGTGGATTTCACTTGAAATGTGGAGAAGTAATCTCTGCATTTAACCAGAAGTAGTGTTTAAATTGTCTTCTGTGTTGTCTGTGTTTGTGCATGACTGTGTCTGTGTGTATATGTCTGTGTGTGACCTGTGTGTGGATGGTGTTCAACACCAAGGACAGGTGTGTTTGTGTGTGTTTGTGTTAGAAAGAGAGATTGTGTTTGTGTCGATGGCATTCAGCACCAAGGACAGGTATGTTACTTTGTGTGTGTGTGTGTTTGTGTGACTGTGTTTCTGTTACAAGGCTATCCTTCTCTTCTTGTTTATTTCCCAGCTGCACGTCCAGTGGGAAGGCTGGGATGATGAAAGCGGCATCGCTGACTACGAGGTTGGCCTCAGCAGTACAGAGTCAGCTACAGACTCTCCAGACATCCATCCTTACACGTCCACAAAGTCCCACCCAGAGCTCAGGCTGTACCATCCGAATCTGGCACAGGGGGCGCAGTTTTACATCATCATCAGGGCCACCAACAGGGCCCTACTTTCTACTACAAAGGTACTGACAATTCACACTGTGATCTCACTGTAAGCAGATGATGGGAGAAAATAGCTTTGTCTATTATTATTAGATCATTATCTATACTGTCCATTTATTTGCAGGGTTACAAAATTTTGACACCAAAAAGTGTTGAACTATCTTCTTTTAAACAAGTATTTTGCATCTTAGCAGCATATTTCAATGCCACAACTGTCACGTTTAGGTAAGATGTCCTATAAATGGTTTTGCAGTATCAGCATAGTTAATTCTATGACACCACAAAATATTACCTAGGCAGTAGAATTAGATGCAATGTCTATACATTACACCGTTACATTAATTCTGGAAAGGCATAGGTCAAAAACTGTCTGAACAGTAGACTAAATATCTTTTTGCATTACAGGTGTTTGGTCCTGTAACTGTTGACATCACACCACCAGTCATAGAGCCTCCGATCAACGTGACACACACAACAGACAACGCTGAAGACTTTCTGGTGGCTGTGTGGCCAGCGGGCTCTATCTATGACACTGAAGACCTAGTGGGCTCAGAAGTGGAGGTGGCAGCCGGTGAGTTTAGTCCACTACTCTGTGAACGTCAGAGAAATTTTTTTATTAAGAAATTATGAAGAAGAAATTCTACAGGATTCACATATTAGAATCACTCTTTTGAGCTTGTTCTTTCTCAAGAAGTTAGCCTCCTTGATCGTTATCATGATCATAATCTTAAAGTTTATAAGTCCTATTCTTATTTTCTTGAAAGCAACTTTTAAGGAATGTCTGCTGCTTTTTAAGTGACCAAAAGTAGTGGATGCTACTTGAAATGTCTGACAGTTTTTAAACCCTATCCAGTTGCCTTGTGCAATTTCCTGGTGCATTCATTCACTGATACTATACATTTATTCCTTCATTATTACAGAGACTTAAAAAAATTCTTTACCAATTTTAGGTCACTCTCCAGGAGGTACAGAGCTGTCTGCATTTGCCCCGGTGGAGTCTTTCCTCCAATCAAACTCTCTCTGCCCCACCTCATCTTGTGTGGCCCTTCCCATGAGCCACCTGGAGTGGCATCTCCATGGTAACCAGGTGTACTACGTCACGCTGAGGGTCACGAACTCCGCCGGACTGACCTCAACTCTGACCTCGGCGCCATACCACCACGATGTAGAGCTACCATCTGTGGGAGTGGTGTTTGAGGTGGCGGAGTCAACAGATACACTAAGGGTAAGTATTATCGGTAGCAACTTTGAATTTGACATAATTGTAAACTGCCTAACTACCTACCTACCTTGTAAACTACCACAGTCAAACCACCTCTGCATATAAGAATGTACATGTAGTTTCAACAACAAGCTAACAACAATGCCAGTGTGTGTATCTATTATCTTCCCTATCTGTGTCTGTCCTTGGTGCTGAACGCCATCCACACACTCTTAAACACACCTGTATTTTGTCTCTGTTTCTTATGATGCTAATAATGTAGGGAAACCATTTTGTTTGTTTTACAGAATCCTCCTGACATAGACCACCAGACCAACCAAACACAGATCAGATGTCGTTGGTTTGGCTTTGCCCATGCCTATCAGGACATCAGCTACCAGGCAGGGGTTGGCAGTGCCCCTGGTCTGGATGATGTGGTGAATTTTGAGCTCGTCGGATCCTCTACATCACACATCTTCACTGGACTAAATCTACAACATTTTCAGGTTAGTTTTTACTTCCCTGTACATTAACACTTTATATTTAATTCTGTAAAAGGACAATATGCAATATGTAACAAAATCTTTATTCAAGACTATTATCTATAACTTAATAACTGATATTTACCAATGTAGAATTTATTGAAAGCTTATTTAGTCTAGTAATTTGAACATTTGATTAACATAGCAATTATGAAGAGGAAAATTCAATATTGACACAAATTTGCTTAAAGAAAGAAAACTTTGCTTTCTACAATCAAGAGGACTGGTGGAAAGTCTGGTATTTTTAGGCTACATTTAATAGAAACTTACAGTCTTTTTATCTTAGCATTTTCAATAATGAAGATTTGTTTCTGTACAGAGGTATTATGTGACTGTGGTGGCAAGAACAGAGGCAGGTGAAGTGAACACCACATCAGATGGAGTGGCAGTGTTACCTCAGGATGGGCAGTTAGCTGGAGCCACTGTGTCTGACGGGTCCTGCCACACTCCTAGTATGTACAATGCTATTTCAAAGGCTATCATTTTCTACACATCACATTAATTATAATTATCTACAGTCAAACCTGCACTACTGACCACCTCTTTATAAGGTGCACCTAGCCATTGTGACCACCTGTTAAGCTTGTTAAAAACTATTACCCCCCAGGGATTGATGTACTAATTGTTATTTCAGAGGAAGAACATTTAAATGATGGATTATGCAAATATTTTAATGAATGAATGAATGAATCATTGATTCAGTACGTACCTTGCATCCAGAGGCTAATTCACTTGCCAACATTTCTGTTGAATACAAACATTACAAAGCTTGACATCATAAGTAAACATCAGGTATTTACAAGTTGTTTCATAGGAATATATTGAATCCCTAAGTTCCAATGCATTGGGGATAACCAATTGTTTGTCTTCTTGTCAGTTCTGTTCAACGCCACCCTGTTGACCCACCACACGTCCACACCGTTTCCTGGCTCCTGTGCAGATGATGTTGATTTCCAGGCCTCCACCACCACCGTACACACCTACTGGAGCATCCCGGAACCTATGGAGGACTTTGTGTCATACGTTCGCTGGACACTGGAGAGGGAGCAGTCTGTTGGAGGGTAGGCTTACGTTTCTTTTTTTTTTAAATCTAATATTATAATGTCATATTCTATTCTACCTTGGCTTGCTTGAACATCACGCAACAAAGATAAATAGAATATGTATAATTATACATTGTAAATGCCACCATTGAGTAGTTTTGAGACACAATTGCTCTATAACATATAGCTCAAGAGCATTATGAGGTATACAACTATCCAGTGCAAGCATTAATAGTTTTCAATAGCAAAACAGATTAAGAATATCTTCTTTTGATAAGTGTGCTTAAATGCAAAGCCAAAAGACAAGGTTGATGGGAGTTGAGAGTTTTTGAGAAGACATACTGCTTTTTTCCAATTATCTGTATAAATAAGAAAATTTTTATTTTTACTTCCAGCACAACTTGGGAGGCTGTTAAAACAATACAAGATGCTCCAAACACCGGTGTCCTGGTGATTTCGGAGCTACAGCTATCCCCCAGCGGGCACTACCGCTCTGCTCTGCACTTCTGCCACCAGGAGGGCTGCTTCCAACCTACAGCATCCGACGGCTTCTGGGTAACATCAGAACCACCTGAGGCAAACGGCATCAACAGGATAGACTATGACGAAGCAAACACGTCGCTCACTTTTTCGTGGAACGAGTTTGTAACTGCAGAACTGGCTAGACATGAGGCACTACAGACGATGGCCATGGGTGGATATGAGTGGACACTGTCTGTGACTGGGAAGGGGAGCTCTGCACTGGGAACAATCTTGTATCCTTGGCAACTGATTGTGGACTTTAGAAGATCAGGACTAAATGTGAGTAAATCTGTGTATATTATATAAGTCATAGCACATATTCATGTGACATTGCCTTATTCATTATTATTATTATTGATGTCTATTTGCATTTCACTATGACCAACTGTAGCTAAATGTTTTCAGGCATTAAGTGTCAGATCTTCAATCATAGTCATATACAAAGTCATGTGCTTGCATGCAGTAATTTAAACAACAAAAGAATATCTCCTAACACTGTGCATGTCTGAGCTACAACAAAGGACACAAATATGCCAAATAGTCACAGGTAGTTTCTATGATCATCATACGAAAATTGAGATTAAATAGTTGTAGTGATTGCAAGCTATATCTATTTCATTATATAGTTTAGAATAGATGCTAGAATGTATGTCTGTGCCACATCATATACTAAGATCCCAAATGTCTTTGTAACCACTAGATCACCGCTACAGTTACCCTACCCTCCCCTCTGGAGTTCAGCAGCTGTATAAAGCTGCTCCTGCGCGGGAGGAACCAGGCAGGACTGTACTCTGTGACATCAGGGGAGATTCACGACTGCGATGATCCTGGGTCTGTCAACATCCGGGATCCTGTTGTCTTTGATGCTGTCCCTGATTATTTCAATGCAACTTTGGGGGAAGAAAGGTGGGTAAATTTGCTAAACAAATATGTGGACTATCAATACATTACTAACACTCTTAACACAGGTCTGAACTGTATTTGACATGAAAACCACATGTCTTATTTGGGCCTCAAAAGTCAATCATTTCCCAAAGCAAAGGATCCTTATAAGCACATTATGTGCTTTCTGTTCAATGCTCTCAAATCTATATGTCTATTGATTAGATAAATAAATCATTTCCCATAGATATTGAACAGGACATTCATTGGAACATATATTTAACTTATGTATAGTCATCATAGCAAAAAGAAAGAAGACACATTTGGGCCTACTATCAACTTCCTTTGAAACTGCAAGCACTTCTGAATCATTAATATTGTAATTACATTCACTTTTCTTGATTGAAACATATCAAAATTTAATGTTTTCACTATACTGGAAAGTATATGATTTATTCTTTGCTTAATAACACTCATCCACTCATTTCTCACAGTGGCATCTCATTGGCCACGAACCATTTCTGGACCGTCCCAGACGAGGACTTCACTCGTTCCCGGGATACCCTGGCGGCCGCGTGGCCCTCCCTGAGACACGGGGACTACTACTGGAAGGTTCTGTCAGCAGAGTCCATCGAGCGCTGGTCCTTCCACAGACAGGAGAATGAGATCAACTACCACTCCTTCCGCTGTGACGAACCGGAGACACTGAGATGTGGTCAGACTAAGGTAAGGCAAACATGGAATGAGAGATGAAAAGATTTGATTATTAGGATCCACATTTAGCATTGTATTACATGTACATGACAGTAGCTATTCTTCCTGTGGTCCTTTCTAATGCACAACACAACACAAAGGTAAAAGATAGTATTTCTTGCACAACCAGTTTTTCACCCAATATTTTAGAACTATAAAACTGCTTTCGTCAGGGCAGTTAGTTCAAGAGAATTTTATCTTTATCAACCTCCTATCTGCCAGACTAGAGAGACAGTACCTTTTTTGTTTGTTGAGGAGTATTTCCTCAATTCTTCAATTTTAATTGCTTGCTCTGCTTTATTGTTTAATTATAAGGAGCAAGTTGCTAAAAAATCATAGATACTGCAGAAAGCTGGACAATTTGCATCAATCATTTCTTGATAACAAATTTGATGTTGTTTCTTCCAGGATAATTTTGTTAACGTGGAAGGCCTGGAGCTGCAGAACGGCCAGCGTTACTTTGTCTGTGTGTTTGCGGAAGAGACAACTCTGGAGTTTGAGATGTTTCAGCACGTGGCAGAGGAAGTTTCCGTGTGTTCCAACGGAGTTGTGGTGGACACAGAACCTCCTGTAGCTGGGGAGGTGCATGCTGGATGGGGAAACCAGAATTACCAGGTGTGTAGCTCAACTATGTATTATTTGTGTAGTTTTATTTTATATGGAAGGTATTCAGCACCAAGGACAGGTGTCTTGTTTATGTGTGTGTGTGTTTGTGTGTGTGTCTGTGTGTGTTTGTGTCTATGTCTGTGTTTGTGTGTGTGGATGGCATTCAGCACCAAGGACAGGCATGTTTTTGTGTGGATGATGTTCACATCAAGGGACAGGTATGTTTGACTTTGTGTTGATAGTGTTATGCACAAAGAGGAGCAGTACCATATGTGTGTAGACAGTGTTTATATAATGCCAGGGTTACAGGTAGACACTGCAACATATATGACATCTCCTTTTACAAACCTCTTTCCAGACATCTACCACAGAGCTGCCGATTGTCTGGGAGTCGTTCAGAGATGTGGAAGTACACGGAAACACTGGGCACCAACACTCTGGGGTCATGAAGTACGAATATGCAATAGGTATGCCAAAGAATTTCTGTATCTTTGCTTCTTTGTTGTATTGATTTCACATGATTTCATCTTTGACTTTGATCAAATGGAATAATGGAATGATAGAGTTATAGAATAGAATGATAGAATCACAGAGTAGAATTATAGAATCACAGAATAGAATGATAGAGTAGAAGGGTAGAATTACAGAATAGAATGATAGAATTATAGAATCTTAGAATAGAATGATAGAATTTCCAAAGTTTGCCACACCTTGTCACTGTCTTTCCAGGAACCTCCCCCGGAGTGATGGATGTGCGACAGTTTGTGGATGTTGGGCTGACCAATCACGTTGTCGCTCGTGGTTTGCTGCTTCAGAGTGGACACACGTACTACGTCACTGTGAGAGGTATGCAAGCTCCTCTTGGATCTCAGTCCTTGAGTTTAGAAACGTTCTAACTTTCAGTTGATCATATTTCAGTTAATACTTTATCAATTGCAATGTGTTGTATACCATTGGAAAGCTTGTTTATTGAACTTACCAAAACACTGTACACTTACAAAGCAATAGAGATATTATTGATCAAATTTAGGTATCCAAACTTGTATATGAGTGTATAAGAATGAGTTGTATATGGTAACGTTAATAGTATAAGGTATATTCTTACTATTACACCACCAGTAGTCTGCACTGAATGTTTTCCTGAATTTGTTTCCAGGGCTTACATTTACGTTCAACTGCTATTTTTCAGCAACTGATCATGTTGGACTTCAAACAACATCGACGTCGGCAGGCTTGACGATCGACACCACGCCTCCTTCTGTCACAAACACGAGGATAGACGTGGGAGGGCGGTACCTCATGTCTACTGACGTCATTTCAGTCAACTGGGATGGGCTGGTCTTTGATCTAGAGAGCGGTAAGTTATCAATATAGGTTTAGATCAGATAGAAGAAAACAGAACCAGGAAAATAGATGCTTGGAATAATACTAGCTACAAAATCTGTGCTATGTCATGTAATTTAAGATATCTATAATTTCATCCTAATTATAGAGAAAAGATGCCAACTCAGTTTCCTTTCTCTATGTTCGTATCAGTGTTCACAATTGATAACCATGCTGCTAACTTATTAACAATTGCTACTAGAATTGTGCAGGATATTATTGATGGGTTCATCTGTAACATATCCTTTCTAGATTTCTGTCATCATTCTGATATAAATGAACTTATTTCTGTGTAAAACAAACTTTTTCCTTTTTCTCCCTCCAGGAGTGAAGGAGTATGCGTGGTGTGTAGGGTCACAGCCAGGTCATGATGACATCATGCCGTATGTTGATGTTGGACCAGAAGAGCAGGCATCGTCTGACCCCAGCACCAGTCTGGGGCTACTGGAGGGGCACACATACTTCGTCACTGTCAAGGTGGGTTTCCTGTCATTTTAGAATATTTGTAATGCTTCACACTTTCAGTATAACTCAAGGCAATGATATAATCATATGCTACAATAAAGTGATGTTTTTATGACTTTGCTTGTATTTTATCCTCCAAACTTTATCTTATTATATCACTCTACAGATTTCTGTGTTACATAACTTTTTATTAACACAGGTTAGATAGACATCTTCATACTTTTAAAAGTAGTAACTCCAATGAAAAAAATTCATAATTTCTAAATCAAGTCTGTTATAGAGAAAAATTTAGGGCCTATCATACATATACCTATTCTAGTCAGTAGGCAACATCCCTTAGCTTGGGTTAAGCAGCTAGATTGCTGGCCCTGTAGTTTGTATAGTGAAGTATTTGTCACTCTAGTTACATGTTATATTACCTTGACCAGGCGACCAACTGGGCAGGCCTGGTGACCACAGCCTCGTCTTATGGGTTCATAGTGGACGCATCACCACCTCTGTCTGGGTTTGTTCACGATGGAGGACAACAGGACATGGACTATCAGGTAAAGTATCAAAACAGTGTACCTCAGAAAGTCAGAAACATCTGGAAGAAAACATTAAGTTTTGAACTCAAAGTACATGTAGGTCTCTTCTTGGCTGTCATTGTTATGTCTTGTAACTTTCCATGATGTAGTCAAGTTTCTTCTTTAACAGTAATATTCCTTTTCCTCTCTCCTTCTTTCCTTCCTTAAACCTTTCTTCCTTCATTTTGTTTTTTTCTTTCCTACCTGTCCTATTTTGTTTGTCATTCTTTCATCCTTAACTACCTCTTCCTTCCTTCTTTATATCAGATTTAATGTATCCTGAAAGTAAGCAAGTTGACACAGCATCAATTCCTTCATTTCTTCCTTTATTTTTTATCAGACTCAAAACCAATGCATCATGAAAGTATGCAATATGACAATATTATGCTGTTTATTTTATACAGCATGACCTGTCCACCATCACAGTAACATGGGGAGGTTTCCATGAGCCCCACACTGACATTGCTGAGTACTCCTGGATGGTTGGCACGTGCTCAGGGTGTGATGATGTCATGGAGGAACAACATGTTGGACTGTTGACTGGTAATCTTGCATATATGAGTACATACTATTGCTAATAACTTCAGTCCTTGAATCCCTGTCACAAGCGATAGGAAAATTGGCTTTTTGGTAAACTAAGCTTCATCAACATGATTTTCGATTTCTTTTGGAAAATATAGTCCGTACATAGCTTCAGTCCTTCTTGGAATAACCATTGAATACTGGCTTTTCAGTAAAGCAAGCTTGATCAGCATGATTTGCCAGTGTAACTGACCTGAACCTCAACAAGACTTAGTGTTGATGGCATTCAGCACCAAGGACAGGCATGTAACAGTGACAGCCTGTAACACTACAGACCTCCATTCACTGCACAAACTGTACCTCTATTTCACAGTATTTGTGTAGCCAGTGCAACTGATCTAACCTACAGCCAGGTGTTAAGTACCCGGTAACAGTGACAGCCTGTAACACATTACTTCTGATGATGTGTTTAGGTACAGATCTGACTGGTTTTTGTTCTGTTTCTTTTTGCCCGTGTATAGAGGCCAGCGCTACAGACCTGAACCTCCATCTGGGTGTGAGGTACCTGGTGACAGTGACAGCCTGTAACTCTGCTGACCTCTGCACGACCTTGACCTCAGACGGGGTCATACCTGACACCTCCCCTCCCATAGCGGGGGTGGTTCTGGATGGGAGCAGCGATGGAGACATTCAGTATCAGGCATCAAGGTACATACAGAAATATATTATCTTACATGTATATTTATATTATAATGTTCTCTTATGACTTTGGCAAACAAAACAAATGTCTTCCAGTTATGGTTATACAGCACTAAAGGATCATCAGAAGGGTTGAATAATATGTACAGTAACTCTATTAACTAGATAATCTTTTTGATTTTAGCATATTGTGTGTAGTAAATACTAGGCTAAGCATAATTAAGACTCAACAAGTGGTATTTTGGATAAAGGTTTCCGCTACAAGAATTTTGGTAACTAGAATATTTAACAAACGATTGAATCCAGATGTAGCACAAGATGAAGCTACTTGTATATGAACTTGTACAGTTTTTGGTAAAATGATTGATCTTCAATAAGTTTTAGCCATAGCCTATCATGTTTTGTTAACGAGACGAGTAACGTGGACAGTAATAGCCCCATAGTCCATTGCCTTCTATAGCTGTTAGAAGCAAAATATCTTTTACTAGAAATTGAAATGTATAAAGTAAAGGATATCCTTTATTTATACCAGGACAACAATCCGTGCCCACTGGTACAACTTCCATGACCCCCACACCGGACTGTCCCATTACGAGTGGCGGGTGGGGACCAGCCCCGGTGCTGAGGATATCCTCCCCTCCACAAAACTGCACCTCACAGAGCAGGGGTTTGTGTCAGGGTTAGACCCACCACTGCCACTGGGGGTTACACTGTTTGTCACTGTCAAGGCTTACAACAGGGCAGGTGGGTGGGAATCTTTATTGGCAAATTATCAACTTTACATTAGAATCATTATCTTGTATGGTAACTATTAGTGAAGAGGGACTATATACATTTGTACTGATTAAAAAGATAATAAGTAAGAGTAGAGTACTAGTAATAAGAATGCACAGGCATTCAGTGTACATGACTGCATAATACAATTCATCTGAGATGATACAACTTACAATGCCTTCAAGTTGACAAAATCATTGCTTCACACCATGCCTATGGAATTGGTCAGGAGTATTCTTGTTGCCTGGATTGTCTTGTGTGTGTAATAGATGTTTCTGCAATTTTTTATTTACAAAATACACTTACTGATGTTTAAATTCTTAATGTTTAAATTCTGCCTTCTCTGATTCTGTTTATGTAACGTACATTTTGTGATGGATGTAAGAACTGCTGCCCTAAGAGATAATCCAAACTAAAGGAAATTTTTTTTAACCTCACAAATGTTCCCACATGCCTAGGTCTTTCAGTTGAGAAATCATCTAATGGCTTCACTGTGGACAACACTGCACCTTCACCAGTCATCAGCCCAACTGTCGACTCTGCTATCGGCTCTGTTGTACTAAATACACAGGTAAACCTTTCAGATTAATTTCCCGTTATTTTAGCGATTAATAAAAGGATATTTAATATGCCAATTTTACTGGATGCAAAATTATGATCCTTGTCATATAGCTTGAAAGTAAAAACTTTGACAGAGTGTTGAAAAACATTTCTCATCAAAGATCACTTAAATAACTAAAAACCTTCCAAAGCTTAATATTTGTCTTTAGTAGTCTGACTCGCTGTCATGAAATTGACATGATTGGAATTTTGAAACTTTCATCCTACATTTAGCACCAAGACTGAAACTGTAAAAGGTATTAAAACTAACATTTGCATTTTCTAGGTTTGGAGGGACAGTTTGAGAGCCACGTGGGACTTTGAAGACCCAGAGAGTCCTCTACTGTACCACATAGTGAGCCTGTACACCCACCATCAGTCAGACCTGGCCACTGATCTAAAGTATTGTGTATTTCAGGTTTGGAGAGACAGTTTGAGAGCCACGTGGGACTTTGCAGACCCTGAGAGCCCCTTGCTGTACCACATAGTGAGCCTGTACACCCATCATCAGTCAGAATTGGCCATTGATCTAAAGTATAATGTGTATTACAGGTGTGGAGAGACACACTGAGAGCCATATGGGACTTTGAAGACCCTGAGAGTCCTCTGCTGTACCACATAGTGAGCCTGTACACCCACCATCAGTCAGACCTGACCACAGAGCCGGTACAGTTGGCAGGAGACACAGACAGCCACACCTTCTCTAACCTGACGCTACATGACGGAGATGTGTACTATGTCAAAGTTACGGCATGTAACGCTGCTATGCTTTGTACAACAAGGGAGTCACCTGGACACATGGTATGTTAGAAAATCATTTTATTTTATAGAATATATACTCCCAGGAGCAAGCTTTGTGGAATAAATGTCTGATGAAATTAGAGATTTTGCCTTTGAAGTTTGATGTACAATGCCAAAGTCATGTGCTGTGTAAAATAAGGGAGTCACCAGGACACATGGTATGTTGGTATGTTTAAAAAGACTCAATGTCTTCCAAAATTGGATTTCCAGAAAGTTATGTTTTCAAAGAGCATTTACTTACCAGATGCAACATTTCAAAATGCCATAATTCCCATTGTCAAACAACTTTCCTCTGTACAGGTTGACATCTACAGTCAGCACATCTTTGCAGTGTTCTTTGATCAGACGTAAATGTCCAATAACCAAATCTGTCTTAGCTATTAGTCTAAGAGTTTTCTCTCAATAACTTAAAGGCTTAACCTACATGTAGTTCACAGAAAATCTACAAATTTCCTTTGTCCAGGTGGACTCCTCCCCCCCAACCCTCGGCACCTTCGCCGTCGCCACTGATCATGTGACCCAGCTGGGCCGTGACGTGGATGGTCACATGACCTACTGGCAGACAATTGGTTCGGCTGGAGCCCACCTCCGACTGGCCTGGCTGGGGTTCGCTGACCCCCACAGTGGGGTAGACCACTACATGGTCACTGTGGGGACATCGTACAGTGGTACAGAATTAACACAGGTAAGATATGGGTATGGTGTTTGAAAATTTGTTTTTAACATACCAGTAGAACAATTTAATAAATGTAGTAATATAAATGAATAAACCAGTCATCAGGTAGAGTGGAACTTGCCGCCAAAAATACAGTAGGGGCATTCTCAGTAGATCTAAGCTTTAAACCATGCTTGTAGCAAGATGTGATAAAGTTAGATGTGACAGGTCTCATAACAGAATCAAGTGAGCATACACTCTTATCGAGTAGAGTAGGTGTGTCCTGGAGTGATTAGCTACAAACACAACAGTATCAAAGCTGCATTGCACTTAGTCTATGAATATAAGCCACTTGCTTCATCTCACTTGACATCTTTACCTATACCTTTACCTTAAAACCTTTTCCCCTGTCTCTACCCACAGACTGGCCCAGTAAGAGTTAACCACAGCGGCAGTTTCCAGTCTGCAGGAGAAGGACAGGTACAACTGGGGACTGTGCCTGTTAGTCGGGACTTGGTGCCTGGAGAAAGGATCTATATTTCACTGTGGGCAGTCAATGCAGTAAGTTACGATGATCATATTTTCCTCCCTATCATAGGTATCTCTTCCTCTTGCTGTCATTATGTTAAGTGGATTCAACCTCTTCATTTTGGGGTGAAATTTAAAATTTGTCATGGAGGTACATATACAGTGGGTGAATACCCCCAGATTTTTTCATTTTTTTTTATACAGGCCTTTCTTCTGTCTTATAGACGTTTAAAATTGTTTTATTGACTTTTTAGATACTTTCAGACCATACAGGACATAATACTTTGGGCTCCTGAAATTTTGTAAAAAAAAAAATTATAGCCAGTATCATGAAGCATTGTCTGAATTGAGTAGGAACTAAATTCATAATACTTTTGTTGAAACCTTTTTCTTATGGTTGTGTCCTTCAGGTTGGATTGAAAAGTGATGTTGCACACACAACTTTTGAAGCTGTCCGCTCTAACCCAACCAGTGGACTGCTTGATCTTGTGAGAAGATGTGATGCTCAATCCTGCCAGGGACACTGTACATGTGCACCCAGCAACCAGCAGTGCCAACCTCTCAGTACTGGCTGCAATGATGTTACTGGTATGGCATTGCTGATATTTTAATTATGATAGCCAGGAGACTAATACACTAGAACAAGGGCAGCGACAACAAAATAGCAAGACTTGTATGGCTTAGTAGAATCCCATTCTTCTAGATGGAATAGGATTGTCAGTTGCTGTAAGAGGTCTGTCTTGGTCATTTCTTTTGGGGCAGTGGCTGGCAAATTCAGCACTGCTTGCAATGACATGACTGGTATAACATCACTGATATCTTTATTATTACACTGTATAGTGATTACATGTATCAATAAAGATGCAGTCTTGATGGGATTTCATATTGGTGGCTAAAAGATGTCTGCACAGTTTTCACAGTCAGTGCACAGTGATAAAGTTTTAATAACTGTGGATTCCCCTTCTTATACTTCATATATTGTGCACAACAAGTTACACCAGGGATTCAGCACGAAGGACAGGCACCATTTACATATAACTGTTACAGTATGTTTTCTGTGTGTTTCTGCAAATTGCTGCAACTCTTAGTCAGACTTTGCATCCATTTATGTGTAGTTAACAAGATGGGACAGCAGATTTTATAATATCATTAAGAAAATCATCAATTTACAAATCATGCTGTAAGTTATGTTTTATACAGGAAACTCCCAGTACACATCAGTAGAAGTGTTTGACACCCTGAACCTTCAGACAACAATCCCAGACGGTCAGGATGTGAACTTTACCCGCTCTGCTACTTCTCTGGCTGCTACATGGAGGGCAGAGCAGGACAACAGGATACCTGTGGACAGGTTGGACTGTGTTTTAATCTATCAATTTTAAAGACTTATAGTCTTATTAGGATATTAATTGCAAACGATATGATATCACAGAACTCCACAATAAACAGTTTTGCATGTTCAAAGATGGCAAAACTGGTTTTAAAGCAGCTATCCTAGGTCTGTGAATAATTTCATGTTCATCAAAACTTTGTTAAACAGTTGGTTGTGAATAAAAAAACTTTCCTATTCAACTTCTCTCTAAAATTAATCTATAGGTTAAGTGTCCAATGTAGAATGATGATACAGCTGTATTAATATTACATCATGTACCTTACATGTAGCAACGTTTGCTTGGAAATTTGTTAAGAAAGCCCCATGTTTTGTTCCAGGTATGAGTGGAGTGCAGGTTTAGCTGGAGAGGCAGTTGGTAGTCACGTGTTTGACACCAGTACAGACCGGATCTGGCATGATGTGGGCAGCAGGACATCTGCAGTACTTATCCTGCCAAGGGACGGGGCATACGGTAGGTGGAACTTAGAACTCTAAGATTTCGGTTTTACTTAACAGTTATATTCTGTACAAAGTATAGGTGATTGCACAGTTCAGGCTTTAGCTTTGAAGCCACATTAAGTCCAACCCCCCTTGAGAGAACGCAGACTGAGTATCTTTGGCAACAAAGAGCTACCAAGAGTGTACTACTATTCAAGCTTTTGCTGTCACTGCATTTTCTATACATAAGGAGTTTAGTAAAGGTGCAATCTTATGAAAACGTTTAATTAAGCTCTCAGATGCAATCAGACAGTGACCATGATTGGAACTTCAGTACTCAATTTCTTTAAAGTATGCAATGCTACATGCATATGTTAGTAATAAATGACGCATCTATCTGTATTTCCCGCAGCATCCCTGGAGCCCCGTGTGACCTATGTTTGGTATGTTCGAGCCTGGTACAGTCAGAACGACTTCGCCATTTTCACCTCAGATGGTGTGAAGAGCCTGCCACTGCCGCCACAGGTGTCTGCATCAAGAAAGGTAAAAGACAAACAAAAGAATGAGAATGAATGGAGGCAGTATTTGTTATTGTATCAGGCCTCATTTGTAGAAATGATACAAATGATGTAACTAAACTGGTACAAGAAGACACTGGATAATAACCTAGTTGCTTTCCAGTATTGCTGTTTTTATTAGATTATCTATACTTAGTATATAGACAGGAACTTTTAAGTCATTCACTGGAAAATGGATAAAGGCTAGCATGTAGATTTGATATATTTTTTTCTCTTTCTTGTCTTCTTTGAGTTTGTGTGAATATGTGTTCATGTGTGTGTCTCTGTCTCTCTATCTCGTTATCTCTTTAACTGAGAAATGTAGCCATTCAGTTGAAAATAGATAAAAGAAGCTATGAAAATCTAAAGTGATGTACATGTAAATGGCTGGTAAGTTATATCTGATATTAACTCTACAACATCTTTCCTCAGGTGAAAGATCTGGAGAACATTTCCACCAACAAGGACCGTGACTTCAACACCAGTCAGACCCTGCTGGCAGTTTCCTGGGACAGCGTCTTCCCTGATCCATTTGGGGAGATCAACAACTACCAGGTGGCTCTGGGCACAGCTGCAGGAGGTATGTTTGCTAATCTATGGACAACATTGGAACAGCCTAGTATGTTTTCTGATTTTGTGTTGTAAGCCTTGGTTTGCTTGTCAATGTCTCAATGATCTAACCTACGTGTAGTATCTTTGATGGTCCTACAATGTAGCATATGCTGTATGTTACACCATAATGATTGAATATGTATTTTGCACAATTGTACTCCATAGCTTCTTTGTACTAATATTCTCATTTTTTTATCTTGATTTTATGTTAGAACTGTGTAGCTAACTTGTTCACAAAAACTCTAAATACTTCCTGGTTTTAAATCTCATATTTTTGTCTGTTTATGACTGTTTTCCAGGCTCCCATGTAAATCATAATTTAGCTTTGAATTCAAGCAAATTTCTGCCACAGTAAAAGTTTTGCTCTCTCCACCTGCAGCTAGTGACATGATTGCCTGGAGAGTTGTGAGGACAGCCCCAGATGTAACCAGGACATCACTGGACAACCTGTCCCTGCAGACAGGTGTAACCTACTACAGCAGTGTCAGGGCAACCAACCACGCAGGGTTGTACACTACAGTGACTTCAGATGGCATCAAGGTAACCTTTCTGTTCATGGTTTTATGTATCAAATGTAAAGCAAAGTACTACTTCATGATATCATTATTACCCTTACTGCTATATGAATCATTGTATCTTTGTACATCTTTGTACTTTCTTTTGGTGTCCTTACATGTATATAAGTTTGGGAATACATAAAGGCCTGAATGTGCGTATTAAACTTGAAGTTGTAATTATTCATTCATTCATTTCTTCATTCATTCATTCATACATTGATTCATACATCCATTAAAAGTTATGTGTGAGAAACTTTGTTATCATATAGTTTTTCCTGCCCTCAGATAAAGTTCTGGCCAAATCTGTTTGAAACTGCAGTTCTTGGATAACCTGGCTACTCCAAAACTGATTCAATGATTTTGAAGTTATAATGTTGGACCAAACATAATTTCATCAGGTTTGTAGAACATACTATTAGGAAATGTGATTGTCTTTTCCACAACCTGTTAAGGCTGTCACCTGAAACATAAGCAGGTAAAAGTCTTTATTGCTTTTGTAAAAGAAAGCTACAATATCCTATGAATCCTAGTAGTTTTTGATCATGTCTACTTCATTCTCCGAACAGGTAGACACAGTCCCCCCCACAGCAGGCACAGTGTATGATGGCCTGGGTCTCCACGACGCAGACTATCAGAACGACAGTCACACCGTGTGGTCCACCTGGCACGGCTTCTCTGACCTGGAGTCCTACATACACCACTACATCTGGTGTGTGGGCTCAAGTCCTGGAGCAGAGGACCTGCTAGCTTGTAGAAGTGTTGGTGTGCAGATTTCTGCTACTGAGAAACTCACACAGGCTTTGGTATCAGGTAAGTTGAACTGTTTTTGGATTGTTTTAATGTTGCTCTGTGTGTTTGTGTGGATGGATGGCGTTCAGCACCAAGGACAGTGTGTGTGTTTGTATGTGCTTGTGTGTGCGTGTCTTTTTTGTCTCTCTAGATCCCTTTTCGTGAGTGCATCTCTCTGTCTCCCTCTCTCTCTAGCTCCCTCTAGCTCTTGCTCTCTCTAGCTCTCCCCTGCTCTTTCTCCCTCTCTCATGTACATGTACATGTATTGTATAATGTTTTTCTTCACAAACTCATCAACAATTGATAATGTATCTGAAGATAGAGAAACTAATAGTCTGCATCTCATGATCACATTTTACATCTGTTTCCATTACGACAGGTACAAAGTACTACTCAACTGTCACAGCTGTGGATGCTGCTGGTCTGTCCCCATCACCTGTGTCGTCATGTTTGCCTCTCTGTTTCTCAATCTTCTTCTATGTGTCTGTATCTCTCTCTCTCTCTCTCTCTCTCTCTCTCTCTCTCTCTCCTCCCTCTCTCTATCTCTTTCTCTCTCTCTCTCTCTCTGCCATCCCTGACTGCCTTGTTTGAAATACATGTACAGTCACGTATTCCTAAAAACATCATCTATTGCTAGGTATATGGTACAAACTATGCATCTCACATTTTACTTCTGTTTTAGGTACGAAGTACTACTCGACTGTGACGGCAGTAGACGCTGCAGGTCTGTCCTCATCACCTGTTACCTCCAGCGGCATCACTGTGGACTCCACTCCTCCTGTTCCTGTGGAGAAACTCAACTTTGGCCAGAATCTAGTCCTCAACCCTTCTTTTGAGGAGAGCCTTGGAGCATCAGGATGGAATATATCAGGTAACTATTTGCCATGTACTTACTTAATTTGGTCAAACTTGCATCATCCCTCTCTATCCTCCATCAGAGACCGGATTTCTACTTTGGTTAGGCTGGTGTCTGATTTGAGGTTGTCGATGTAGTTTATCCGAGGTCTCCCTCAACTTCTTTGGACATTCCGAAGCTACAATATTAGGATGTCTGATGCAGTGTGCTTTGAGTTTCATTCTGGGAGTTTTGATTTTCACTGTAACTGCAGGAAAATCCTGATATAGCTGCTTGTTGACTCCCAGGAGATGTTCAGACACATATGGCGCATCTTTGGGTAGCAGCCATTTAATAATAAACTTGAATAGATTTGGTGAGCGTTCAAGCTTTGCCATGTATATTGAGTCAAATCTAATCTTGTACGCAAGTCTTAAAGTCCACAACCCTTCTTTTGTACAATGACACCCCTAGCAATAAGTTCATCACAATAGGTATACTTTTACCAGCCTCTTGAAGTGTCTTAAGTTTATAGACAAGTCTAACTTTATTCCTGTATTACATATTATACAATCATGTGTAGTGTGATTTCATACAACAGTATTTAAACCACAAGCCACAGACTAATTTTAGTTTGTGCTTTCTGTACTAAAATTAGATAATGTTTATGTGGTTGTTAAATATTTTTCTCTTGATAATCCAATCATTCATACAGGTACAGCAGAAGCTGTGACTACGTCAGGATTTGCCACCAAGGATGGACAGAAGTATCTACATCTACACGGCAGCATCTCACAGAGGGTACCAACCCAACCTGGCCAGAAGTACCAAGTCAGCTTTCACGCCAGACATGTGGAGAAAATCTCACTGCCACTTCAGTCACAGGAGGGAAAGGTTTGTATTCATTTTATATTTATTGATTCTCATCTTCTCCCTTTCACCGTGATGCGTTTAGACCTTGAGGCCTGTAAATTGTCTGCCTCTTTGTCTTTTCCACTCTGTTCTGTCTTGAGTTTTGTCCATAACAACATGTACTCAGAAGTCTGGGTCCTCTCGGCTTTGTATTTATTGGCGATGATACAAGTCATCGCAAAAGCCAACACAGATACACTCAGCTATTGACTAACTAATTCACAAAAAGTGCAGATTATTTAATACAAAACAAACATGTAGATCAGCATCTAAGATGAAATGCAAGACTAGTCAAATTGTCAAATAATGTTTCAATCTTAGAGACTGCATGTGAAAGAATAGAACCTCCAATGTTGCCAATGACATATTCCGTACAGTTTGCAACATACATTCTGTAAGTAGGATTACTTTTAGTTAATCCATACATGTATTTAGCTGTGTTCTACATTTAGTTGCACATTGTGCTGTAACTTGTAATGCTGGACCATACGAAAGCCCCTGTACTTTTCAGTAAGATAATTCTTTCAATCAGTGACTATTAAATCCTAAGGTACATACCTCCGAATTTTCGACGACTAGTCAGTTCGTCTTGGTCACGGAATAATCCTAGTCTCGCAAGATAACGCGAGACTAGGACGAGACTTGCGTGGATCTTCTGCCCCCCTCTGCCTCCTTGCGGAGTAGAGGTAGGTAGGGCTTAGGCAGCTCCCAGCCTTCGTTGCGGTTCAGCTTGGCTCCCACTAGTTGGATGTGTATGGCCTCCTTGATCTTCCGATGTGCGTTGCGGGCTTCCTGATCGATAATTTCAATCGTGTCTAGTATAGGTTGGGTGGTGACCCTATGTCCAGTCTGTAACTGGTGTTGACTAAGTGCAGATTTGTAGTCCTTACGGTCAATCGACTTCTGATGTTCACCTGACCTTTCCCCCAGCGATCTCTCTGTTTCTCCCACATACGTCTCACCGCAGTGTTCGCAGACAAATTTATAAATGACACCACACTTTTCACTCGGATCTAAAGGGTCTTTCGGGCTCACCAGGGCATTCCGTAGGGAGGAGGCAGAGGGGGGCAGAGGGGGGCAGAAGATCCACGCAAGTCTCGTCCTAGTCTCGCGTTATCTTGCGAGACTAGGATTATTCCGTGACCAAGACGAACTGACTAGTCGTCGAAAATTCGGAGGTATGTACCTTAGGATTTAATAGTCACTGATTGAAAGAATTATCTTACTGAACTTATACTATACGTGACTGATGAATCTCTTCAACCCTGTACTTTTGTCATTTCAGTAAAGAATCTGAATCTGTATTTGAAACACAGGTTTCAGCCCCAGGACTGCACAAGACATTCAAGCTGTACCAACGCTTCGGGACGGTCGGCCACAGTGAAGCAAGCGAAGAATCCATTAAAACCTGGCACCAACACGTCTACTACTTCACAGCAACCAACTCAGAGTCTGAAATCATGTTTAGCTCTGTAGGTAGAGCTGGGATGGTTTTAGATCAGGTCAGCGTTCGGCTTGTGAATGTGAGCACACTGCAAGAGTCAGACAGGGAGAGCAGTGTGGGCCTAGTACATGTTCACACCAGCACGGCGGCAGACTGGCATGTTGTTCAGGCCAGCTGGGACATGCAGGACCTGGAAAGTCCCATTGTCAAGTACGAGTGGGCCATAGGAACAGTGCAAGGTATGTTTCTTTTATTACTCAGTGTACATGTACACTCACTATCGCGTTTAGCGTCTGTTGTTCCTCATCTCTCAAGGGTTAGACGGGCTTGCACATTGATGCTGAGGCCTGGTGTAACTTATTGTCTGTTTGTTTGTTTTTCTGACAAGGGCAACAGCATAGCCTTAGTATAAATGTTGTTTTTTTTACTTCTATCAGATATTCAGCACCAAGGACAGGTGCCATGGCTAGCTATATAACAGTTGTTGTTATGTATATTCTTTTGATGATGTGATCTTTACTTTTCTTTGTCTAAAAGTTTCTTCTTAGTGTAGAAAATTCGACTAAATACCATCCTAAATCTTTAAGAAGGCACAATTTTTCACTTTAATCTTTCTAAATCTTTTAAAGTTCATTCTAAACATGTTTTCTGACTACAACCACCGACAGGAGGTACCCAGCTGCAGGGTTTTAAGTCGGTCGGACGGAGAACCTCTGCCCGTAACGAAAGCCTCCATCTCCAGCATGGCAGCTCTGTCCACGTGACGGTGGTCGCCACCAACGCAGCGGAACTCCGGACCGTGGTGTACTCCGAACCTGCAGTGGTGGACCTCACTCCTCCTGTCATCAGGAACATAAGGGTATGGCAATGTTTCATGTCATTGAGTCCTTATACAGACTGTATTCATATACACAAGCTATTTACTCCTAAAACCACAAATTAAAATGCCTTTTATGCTTGAGTTACAACTTACTAATACATGTATAGTGAAACATTAAGCTGTCCTACCAACTCAATGAATTAAGACTCTCCAGATTTGGTCGAAACTTCCAGTGAGTCTAATTTCTTTGAGTGTGTAGAACAGTTTAATTTTTCACAATGCAAATTACCAACTCAGATGAACTTTGATGCTTGCTTACTAATATGTCACTTGTCAGAGGTATAGTTTGGAACATTGGTAAAATCTTTTTCCTTTTTTGTCATTAAAGGATGGCACTGAAGAGGATGACACAGACTACCAGAGCAGCCTGATCTTCACTGCCAGTTGGGAGGTTACAGATGGGGAGAGTGGTGTCAGTCTGTGTGAATCTGCTCAAGGTAACCTGTCTAAATATCTCTGTCAGTATTCTATCTTGTTTGCCACCTGATCTTTCTTGTCTTACATAACTCTAGTTATTGATCATTTACTTGAAATACATAAATTCTTATTGTCTACATTTAGAATTTTCTCATTCAGAACCTCATATGGTAGGTCAAGCCCTGTATTATTATGTAGAACTTTCTTTCTATCAGTAATTTTACCTTACATCTCTTTTTTTAGGTCTGAGTCCAGGTTCCACAGAACTCTCACATTTCCAGCCCACGGACAAACTGTCGTCCTCATCAACAAATCTGACAGGTAAGTGCTCAATATTGTGTCCTTTTGTGAACTTGAACTCTTGCGAAATTGCCCAGATTCAGCTTTCTTCAATATGACTGCATTGTTGCTGAGGAGACCATTATCTGATGCATTACTGTCAATGACAATTTGAAAAGAGTGCTGGTAAATGTGTGAACTGCACAGTCTGTATAGAATATTACTAACTCCCAATATAAGTATCCTTCAACATAAACACACTTAGTTTGCTGCTTGAGTGAGCCATGTATCATTGAAGCAGCTACTTGTATATCACACTTAAAGACCTGTCTCACCTAGCTTTAAGTATTGTATAAAGCTATCTAGTGAGGATGCCCTTGCTTTACTTGTTGACATTCAACAAGTCCTTGTTCCACTCTTCAATGGTTCTAAGGAAAACATTTTAACACCTTGATCCCGCTCTGGTTGATAACTCTGGAACTTGAAGGCATAACTGTTATATATGCCTTCAAGTTCCAGAGTTATCAACCAGAAATAAGGCTAATGTTAACATGTACCCCCACAGGACTGATCCAACACGGCCAGACCGTCTACACCACGGTGCGATGTTGGAACCGCGCCGGTCTGGAGTCCCAGGCGGTGACAGACGGTGTGACCCTGGTGACCCTCCCGCCGGACAGCGCGGCTGCCGAGCTCCGTGTGACGTCCCCATCACAAACCCCCTTCCCCGCCGAGGGCGGCCATCAGAGCGCCAAGGAGCAACTGCGCTTCTTCTGGGAAGGGTTTACTGATGAGGCTGGGATAGATCATTATGAGGTACAGTAACAGTAATTTGCTGCATAATTTCTCCAAATACATTATCTTTGCACATTTGTAATATACTATACATAATGAAATGAAACATAGCACATGAGGTTACATTACACCTTGCTACAGATGCCGTTCCCAGTGACTCTTCTTGGGCCAAAATATATTTTCAGGCCGGCAATTTTTGAGCCAGCGAGTGCAAGTAGGTCCATAGCAAATCAGATGCCTGCCAGGCTAATCCTCGAGACTTCTTGTGATTACTTACATTTAATTGTTTCTTCCTTATACTGTTTAGTACTTTGTCACATTCTGTATCTATACCTGTATCTGCTTACTGGTATAATACATGCAGGTATATTACCAGCTTTGCAGGCATGTGACATGGGTGCAGCTGGCCATATTACACCAAACATTTGCTGTTTTTAGATGACACTGTGTTATGTTCACATATCACAGGATAAGCTAGATTGTCCTGAGATTTCTGTACTTAAATTTTTCCACATTTCCAGATCTCCATCAGTGGACCGAACAACTCCACCCACACATGGTTGTCAGCAGGAGTAAACGGTGAGACGTCGGCCGCCCTGTCAGGACTGAGGCTGGAGCCACAGCAGACCTACACCGTCTTCTGTCGCGCTGTGAACATGGGAGGGCTGGTCAGCGATGCTGTATGGACCAACGTCACGATAGAGACAGAACAGCCAATAGTCAATGGTTTGTATCTATGATCTATTTTATCTATGGTACGTATCTATAGGATCTACAGTACTCATCTATCAATATCAAAAGTACTTACTAGTAACTACTTCAGTTTCATAGGACATATAATATATTGGGATTTCTTTTACACATTCAATCAGTAAAGGTTTGCTGACAGACATATAGCAGTGAGAAGCAGTACTCTAGTCAGAAGCTCTGAGGATTATGTCTGATAGACATCAAAATGTAGCAGGTGACTCACTGAGACTTATCAGAATGCCAACAGAAAAGGCATACCTCATAACTGCTATATACAGTATATAGTAGCTAAAGATTAATGCAGTGATGTAGTTGTAGATTATAAAGATATAGTGTCAAAGATTAGAAATAATGTTTGTATTCAGTGGTTAAGCATACAAATCTTATGTCCTGTTTAGGTTCTTCAGTCATCAGCCAATGGCAGCCGCCCGACATCCTTCACCTGGACTGGACGGGAAACTTTCTCAGCCAATCAGAGCTAGTGTATGAGGTTTCCATGGGAACCGTGAGGGGAGGGAGTGACGTCATGCAGTGGGTGGAAACCATGGAAACGGCCATGACCGTGACGGGGGTGGACCACAGCAGGGCGCATTACGTCATCATTACTGCAGTCAACAGAGCAGGTTTATATGTGTCACAGGTTCATAGACTGTCAGCTTAAGAGAGAAAATGCAGCTTGAGGAGAAAATGTTTTTAGAGGTAGCCTCCTGTGCAGACTTCTAGTGGGGCAGCATTTGAGTCGAGATTTCTGTATCACCAGCATCACTGTTTTGGAGATAAAAGAAGCCTGCAGTCAGAAAACGCCCCACATCTGCTTAGTGATTATGAGAGGTCAGACACATTGACTGTCCTTTTGGGATAAGAACTTCTAAACTTGTTTTCTTGTGAGTATTCCATGTTTCCCCATGAAGTAATTTCCTCCATAGCATTGATTGCTTTGTACAGTTTATTTAAGTGAGCACACTTGTTAATGTGGCTACTGAATATTTGTCTAGATACTCTGGAAACTGTCATGTTACTGTAAAATTTTACTGTGAAAGATTATTATGTAAATATCACTATTTTGGTTCAAAAATTATTTCATGTTTTATCACAGTGCATAGTCCTACCTACTATGATAAGATCAATGAGATGTTATACTGAAATCTTAAGACTTTTGTATATTTTAAGTGTCAACAATGTGAGTCGAGCAATTGATAAATTGCATTGTATATACATGTATCAATATTGACTTTTTGTACACTTTATGATGAGAAAGTAAAAAAAA